AAAAAAAAAGCAAAATAATATGATTCGTTATCATTCCAGGAAAAAAAGCTAGTTAAATTAGGGCTATAAATTAGCACGTACATAATTCATGAAGAGTTATCAAGCACAGACGCCTGAACTCTGACTCACAGTTGTTGGAGCAAATAGAGCTGAATTGTATGATCCCCTTCCTGAACTGGTTTGAGTTGGGGAAGGGCAGTGGTGGAGAAGAAGAGGTGGTGGATGGGTTCCCCTGGTTTTTTTGTTTAGTGGAGTGTTTTGGTTGGCTGCTTGGTTTTGGTGTTGGTTTTTTTCTTTTTTTAATACCCACAGATGCTCTAGATAATTTTTTTTTTCACTTGAGGACATCAGGTAACATAAAATAACCAGGCATTGTCCTAATTCTAATGACTTTTTAAGTCCGGATAACAAAACAGTGAAATGAAAATAGAAAGTTCTAAACAAAACTCACAAACCCCCAACACAGGCATAGAAAACCACCACAGCAAGGTGGAAGAGTCTTTTTAAATGTAAGTGGTGAAATGGAAATTAAGAGATAATATTTTTTCTAGATTTCAGGGAGTTTCTACATCTTGCTTGTCACATTACGCTGTTTCAGCAGGATACATCTTTTTCAAGTAAAAAGGACCTGAAGCAACAAAAGTTGCACGGTTTGTTTAATTTTTTCCAACGTGTCAGTTGTTTCATTCAGTTTTATACCTCTAATTTTTTTTTTTTCTATTTTTGTTACCGGTGGCGCCTCTTTCCGCGCAAATCGCAACTGACGAGGGGGAAAAGTACGAAATTAGAGGATTTTAACTTACCTTAGTTGGAAGGGTGTACTTTCCATCAGGGAGAGGAACGCTCTGCACATCTCCACACGTGGCACACACAAAAGCCAGCTTGGTGCACAGAGGCTTTATGTTACTGACACGCACAACGGTGCCGCGCAGGGCGATGTATTTGCCGTAGCAGTTGGCCCGGACGTTCTTCAGCTGAGTCAGCGGGTCGTAGTTGTACACCCTGCCCGAAAATTAAGCGTTAGCATTTGGAAAGCTTGGCACGCGGAAACGCAGAACAAAAAGAAACCCGAAAACCGCCAAACCCATCCAAACAAACAGACCAGCAAACAAATCCTCCTGCCAACGAAAAACAGGAATCCAGAAAAAAATGGATAGAAATATTTCGCCAGTGGACCCACGGCATCGTCCTTGATTCTTGTTCTAGAAAACATTTAATAATCTCCAAAGGGATACACCTCAACAGCCGTACAGTTTGTTTATACAGTGACACCTCCCTCCTGTAATCAACTGAGATTATCAATACAACAAAAACTACTTTATAATCATGTATAATTGTCTCTTTCCATTATTTCAGATAAACACTGGAGTTGTAGCACTAAAGGGTCAAAGTTTTTATCATGCCTAGGCTCCAAAACAAAGGGAGAGTTTTTGTGTTTCAAGGACATAAGGACATCAGGTACAACACATTGCCCCTTTTTAAGGGCAACAAAGTCCCAAGACAAATAAATCAGAATGAAACTTCAGACAGAGTTGTTTATCATAGAGTGGATCTCATAAGATTGTCGAGTCCAACCCTCCTGCTCAAGCAGGGTAAGCCAGAGCAGGTGGCCCAGATACAAGTCCAGTTGAGTTTTGAATATATTCATGGAGGGAGACTACACAACCTCTCTCACAGTAAAACAGTGTTCACATGGAATTTTAAGAGTTTTAATTTATACCCTTTGTCCCTTGTCCTGTCAAATAGAGCTTATACTCCAAGTTCCCCTCACACCCTTGAAGTCTGAGATGCCATTACTTAAGAAAGTAAAGAAAAAACTTCTAAAGACTCATTTCATCAAAAACTCAAAGGAAATAATTTTTAAAATTATAACAGCAATTATGTTTTTGTAAGAAACATTCAGAATTAATGTAACCTCAGCTTATTCCAAATTATTGTAACATCAGCTTCCTAATTTCAAATTGAAGTTTAGTTAGAATTAATATTCTTGACTGTCTACCAGCAATCATTTAATAGATTTAAGCTAATAAGAAATAACACATCCTCATATGCCACTGCCAAAACATCCATATAAATAATAAATATTACCAGCTGCAGTTTGTGTCCACACCCTCCAAATCAACCTTCTTATTATAAAGATGTGCCTTTTGCTAACAAAAAGCTTGATCATAATCACATCCCAACTTCTCCAGTAAACAAAAATTTAAGTAGTTCTGCTTTTAATCAATACATGCTGTTTGCCAATCTTATAAAGGGAGTTTATTTCACTTTTTTCTTCACAAGGACAGTTTAGCCTTTGTCATGGTAAAGAAAAAAGCAAAATATAGACTGTTCTTCTGGAACACAGAATCAAGTCCTTCAATAAATACGTAAGCCTTCAGCAGCATGAATGGACACTGACAACCATCAGACAAGAAGCAAAGAGGCCTTACTTGGAAAAACTCAAATACTCAGCACCCATTACCTGGCATGAATGAGAGGCACATTTATTATAGGTTCTCCCTCAAGTGGTAATCCTTCCTGCACCTGCAGCTCTGCAGCATGCCTTTCCAGGTCCTTGGTCAGCACCTACATGGAGCAGAAAGGAGGACACAGCTGCAATATGCCATGCTCAGCATGGATTCAAGGATTTGCTATCAAGTTCCATTAGCATCCCTTACAATCAGATCCTCCTACTGAAGTCTAATGACTGTCCAGTGACACCCTACTAAATAATGTTTTTCTGCTTCTGAGCAGTTTTAAGCTTAATTTTAAGTGGAATTTAAAAATCAACATATTTGTTGTGTTTGGGTTTTTAATAAAAAAAGATACAGTAACCTTTAATGCTGTGGTCAAAAAGTGAAGTTTCACTTGACTAAAGCACCAACATCTGAACTTGCCTGTCAACAGGCACTGAAATGCTACTTTAAGAGACATGGAGCAGTGCCAGGAATTCCTGAATCTGCTCACCATTCACCTACCAGCCATGGCTCTGCTGTGTGAGGGGGGACAGACTGCACAACTAACTTGCAGTATATTAAAAAAACACCCCAGGAATTAGAACTTCCAACAGGGAGTAACACAGGGGCTAGAACTACATTTAACTGCTGTAACAATGAATAAACAAAATGCACTAAGGCCAAAGCACTTTCAAAATGTGATTTTGTGGGCCCTGCAGAAATGGGAGAGGTTAAAGGACCCGAGTTTTAAATAAGCGGTGATGTCTCATAAGACAGGAAAACAGAGATTTGAGTTTTATAACATTTATAACTTCTTTGTTGTGAGGCTTATGCTTCTACGTATTAGAACATCACATTTACCTGATGAATTGCCAGGCCCATACACTGCAGTATTTTCTGAGGCATATCCCTTAGTTCCATAGATATATTTGGTATTGATTTAGTCAGTTCTCTGTCTTGTATTAATTCCTTATAATCCACAAGAATACTTCCTTTTCTTTCTATTTCATCCTGTGAAACATTATAAGTTACAAAATACCCTTCAAATTAGAAGCCCAACACATCCAAATTATGTCATAAACATTTCATGTCTATGATGGGGGTTATTTTTGATAGAAAAAATACTCAAGATTTGTAATCAAAAGTATGTTGTTGGGGTGAGATATGTTTTGGGTTGTTTTTTACCTTATCATAAAGCTCAATCCGTTGCATAAAGAACTTTTCGAAGGCTTGAGTCTTCTGGACAAAAGGAGACTTGTCACTATAAGCTAATTAGAAACGTAACACATTAGGAACTAACAGAAATAATTACTTCAGTTTCACAGAATACATATACAGGTAATTTCTCTTCTATTATTTTTCTGCATTCCAAAACTAAGGAGGACGATAGATCTCCACAGTATCACAGTAATGTTCTATTGTGAGGCCTGTTACAAAACAGAGCTTTGTCCAAGGTGGCACAGGACAAGCACTTATGATTAAAAAAAGCCCAGTAGAGGAATGCATATTCCAGTCCTTGACAGACTGAAGGTTTCACGTGTCTAATTGAACAGGTTTTCTTTAAAAAAATCACACTTTACTATTAAGGATTCTTTTCTGAGGTTTGCAGCCCACAGAGATTACAGTATGCCACAAGATAGAAGCCTGTATTGTATTCATGGTCTTACATAACAGATATGCATTTTGGTGTTTTTCTATTGAACCTATAACTCTACAAACACAACATATATCAATTCTATAAAAAAAAAATTAAAATACTTGCTACATATAATTTTGATCAAAAACTACCTTCAGAGAAATAAAGTTTCCAGCCCTTGTAGGGAATAAACTGGTCCAGCGTTGATTGGGCTAGTCGAGATTTTGCTGGGGGAGAGAAAAAAAAAAAAAATTGGGACTAAAAGAAAGTGATAGCAAAACTTTGCATTTAATCTCAGTGATTCTTTCGACCGCGGGAGACCAACAGCTGTAACTGCCTAGCCCAGAAGCAGGTCAAAAGAAAAGCACTTTGGCTTCAGAAAGCAGGTAGAAGCACAGGATTTGGCTCACCAGGTTCGGGAATCCTTTTGCTCTCTCCCTTCTGTCCCCTGCCTCGCCATCCTCCCCGCCATCCTCCTCGCCAGCTCTGAAAGCCTCTGCCCCGGCCCCCGCAGGTCCCTGCTCATCTCCCTCCGCCGGCGCCAACGAGCTGCGGGCAAAGACACAGGAAAGAAACAGAAATTCTGCCAGAAGATACTTAATTTAAATTAGGGCTATTTGCCAGAGAGGAGCGGGGACCGTGCGGAAGGCTCGGCCTCCCTCTCCCTACCACAGGAAGGCACAGAGGAGCCCCGGCTGAGGGGGCGAAACTACAGCACGACCTCCTGCAGCAGCGGCCACCGCTCAGCATGAGCTCGGGGCTCCGCGGGCACTTCCCGCGCTCAGGACAGGACAGGATAGAATAGGATAAGATAAGATAAGGTAGGCTAAGACACCATGCGATAAGGCAGGGGAGGAGCGGGAAGCAGAGCCCTCAGCGGCCCCGCCCCATCCCGCGCTCCTCGCCGCGCAGGCGCCAAGCCCCGAGCGGCGGCGGCGGCGGCCATGGAGGGGTGCCCTGGGCTGCGCATCCGTGAGGGGGACTGCGCCGTCCTCAAGCGCGGCGAGGTCTTCAAGGCTGTGCCCGTCCTGCGCCGCAGGTGAGCGCCCGGACCGCGGCTCTCCGTGCTCGGTTTGCGCCTTCTCCTGCCCCCAGTGAGGCGCTGCCAGCGGCAGTCGCGGGCCCCGCCGGAGGAAGGGGAGGGGGTCCCGGTCCCGGTCGCGGTCCCGGTCGCGGTCCCGGTCCCGCCGCTCCAGGCACAAACAGCGGCCTCGCTAGGCTGCTGTGACAGGCGGCGGGAAAGGTTTTAGTGCTGCCTCGGTTCCCAGCGACAGAAAACAACCCGGAAGGTCTCCTGGCTGCGTTTCCCTCCTGAGAATTTTTTTTAAGGAATTTAAGCTGGTTTTGTGGTGTCGTTGTGAAACGGGTGCCGGTCGAAGAGGAGAAAAGGTGGCGGCACGGCCTGGGAAGCGAATCGTCATCACACCTCGCCGTGGCACGGGATTGCCACGAAATGCAGCATCGCCTCGTTAATTAGGGGTTGTTAATTGGCCTCTGTGCGCTCAGTCTGCAGGAGGATGCTGGCGCTCAGCTCTGGATAGTTACTATGAAAGGTCTCCTATTTCTCTTTCCTAGGCCATCTGGCATGGCGGGAAGCGCCTGCACCCCAGCAGGAATTGCTAAAATCAATGGACACAGCCTGGGCTTCTCCCTATTGCAGCAGACAAATTTATAGACCAAGGTGTAGAAGTCAGTGTTGGGTAATGTGGCCAGACACATCTGATTCAGTAGGATGGAGATTTGAAGGTACTACGCTTGAATGAGACTGGTTTACAAATGGTGTAGCTCAGACCTAGGAATTTGGGAGCAGTGGTTATTGATAGGCTTAATGTTCACCTGTAGGATCTGGCACCAAAACCGGGTAGCCCCTGTCAGCCTATAAAGCACTGAAAAGATCTTGGTCGTTAAGTCCCTCTTCTTTTTTAAAAAATCTCTATCATAAAAGAAAGAATACAAAAGCCAAAGAGTAAACGTAGCCATAAGCAATTAAATTCCTTTTGCATTTATTTTCCTTTCTGTAATCTTATGAGGGTGGTTGGATATTCTGTTTAGAATGGTCATCAAAATGAAATTTGATTCCGTGCATAAATTTTTATCTATTTAATATTTAATTTAATTAATATTTTCAGTCATTTCAAGTCTTCCGTAGTAATTTGTTAGTCTTTTAAAATCTAGGTTGGCAGCAGTTAAGGGACTTTAATTTATAATGCCCTTTTTTATGAAGAGGATTTGGTAATGTCTCTGATAAAACTTTTTATTAGTACACTTCCTTTAAACTGTAGATTTTATTTGGGGATAGAGGTAATATAATATGTAAAATATATGTATAAATTGCATACTTCAATCAGTAGAAAACTGGAAATAACAACTTTTTTCCTTAGCTTCAGAATTAGTGATAATTTGCATAATAGTTCATAGTGGCAAGTTTCGGTTTGAGTGTGAGTGTGGCATAATATAGTGCTACTTGTTCCACTTGGCAGGATTGGTGTATCTCTGGTTAGCAAGGCAGCCTTTGTAGGCCAGCCTGAAAGTTGAAGGCTTTGTGGATCCTGTTTTGTGTCAAGAAGGAAAAATGCAAACCTGCCTTAGTGCAAAAGGGATGATATAGTTTGAGTTTTTTATAAACATTTCTAGGATTACAAGGCGCACTCTCTGTTGTCTGTTTTCTTCATAGTCTTTTGGCAAATGTTGTTTCAAAGGAGCTCTGCAAAATATGGGTTCATGCTCATCTTTTTGCAGTGATCTGCATGACCCAGCCTAGATTTCACGTGATTAATTTAATTCCTTGCCTTGTTCTGATCTTCTCTATCAAAATGGTACTGCATCATTTGAGTGCCATAGCCTTGTTTTATCTGTTACTTTAAATGTCTTTTAAACTGAAAAAACCTTTTTCTTACTATATGCTTGACTTAAGTTCTTTGTTCTTTTCTTAACCAGTTTCAGTTTAATGTGGGTTTTTTTGTGGTTAATTTCACTTATTATGCTTGTTCTGCTTTTCTTAAAGGATATAGATAAAAATGTCATGTATAAAGCTACAGTATAAGCTCAACTTCTGTGGGTTTCAACATAGTAAAAGTAATGCTTTTAGTGTCATTAACTTTTCTCTTATTTCAGAAAAATTATTTTTGAGAAGCAGTGGTTCTACCTGGATAATGCCATTGGACATATTTATGGAACTACATTTGAAGTAACCAACGGTGGAAACCTCCAGCCAAAGCAAGAGGTGGAAGAGACTACCACAGGTATCACAGAGGAGTGACTGGTATTTGGAAAAACTAGTTCAAATTAATTTTTCTTTGATAATGGAAAAGCTTTCTATTAATTATTTGTTAGCTAAATGTTACTTATATTGTTTCTGTCATCAAAGTGCATGGTTTTGTCTTGATCTGCTGTTTCACTAGTCCTGTAAGAAATAAGCTTTTTAATATGGGAGAAAATCTGAACCTTAGTTTGGGTGAATATATGTACATTAAGGTTTATTTTACATATTATGTTTCATTGCTTAGGCTGTGCTTTGCAAGGCTGTAAAACGTGTGGGTTTAATCATGAGAAATCTGCTTTCTGTGAAACGAAAATCATGTGTTTCTCCAGTTTATTTAGTGCTAGATTTTACAAATCTGTATCCTTTTTCTTTAGAAACAAAGGAAGCAGGTACAGATAATCGTAACATAGTTGACGATGGGAAGTCTCAAAAACTGACTCATGATGACATAAAGGCTTTGAAGGACAAGGGTATTAAAGGACAGGTAAAAATAAGGTTTTGGTGTCATTTCTTTGCTACCTTGATGGTTATATTTTAGGTTATGAAATAGGCTATTCTTTTTATCTGTGTATAGATTTCAGTACTTTGTTCTTCTGGTCAAGTAATGTTTTTTGGTTTTACAAAAATGCTAAGGCAATGTTCAGAGAAAAAATCATGTAAGGTGGGCAACTTTGTCAATGGAAAGTATAGATTTTTATGGCATCAGGAGTCATAACATAAAAAGTACAGCTCACATAATCACCATTTAGTTTTGTTTCTGTATAAGATTCAAAATGCTTTTTCTGTGTTCCAGACATTTTAAAATCATGCCATAATTAAACTATCAAAGGTGTAGGGAAGGATTATGGACAAATAACCAAAGTATGAAGAAATAACACTGTGTAACAGATGTACCATCAGTGAGCCTGTAGGTACCTACCAAACACGTGTGATGCCTGTGCTTTATCTGGACCTCAAAAACTGATCCCTTGAGAACATTCTTAGTTCTGTTTTGACAGAACTAAGGTATTTGACCCTGCACCTTGTCGTAGAGTCAGTGAGGCCATCTTAAATGCCAGTGAAGCATTGCAGCCACTGCTGTTCTGCACATGCAGTCAGGCAAAATTGTCTCTCTTTGGTTTACCCTTGCTAATAAAATAAGAAATTGCTCATGCTTACATCAAGTCCATCTCCTATTTGCATCTTGCTCTTTGCTTCTGCTCTTCGGAGCAGTTTTTCTCTGCTTTTGCCTGCTTCACAATGGATGGACCCAAGGAGTTTAGAATGGTATTTCTTCTGTTTCCATGGTTGTGCTGCTAGTTGTGTTATCTCTTGAGAGGAATGTACTAATCAGTCTGACAGCTTTGATGTCTTCTATGTGTTCTCATTATCCATGGCACAAGATCATTCTGACTTTTTGGTACGTCCTCAGTCTGCCTGTGCCATACATCTACCATGCTTTTATTTTAGGTTATTAAAATATCCTATTTCATTACTCTGGTTTCTGAACCGTGGCTGAATATTCAGTTTAAGTTATATTAGTAAAAATAGACATTATTCTTCCCTAATAGTAAAATACTAGCCTAGTAAAAGGCTAGTAAAATGTCTAGGCTTGTCTTTGTGATGCAGGCTCAGTTTAGAGATGATTGTTATTTGAAATAAAACTTCAGTGTTGTTGTGGCTTAACCCCAGCCAGAAACCAAGCCTCACATAGCCACTTGCTCGTTCCCCCAGCAGCAGGACTGGGAGAGAATCAGAAGAGTAAAAGCTGCAAAACTCATGGGTTGAGATAAGGACACTTTAACAGGGAAAGCAAAGCAAACCAAGAAATTCTTTCACAACTTCCCATGGGCGGGCACTTCCAGGAGGACAGGGCCCCATCACGTCTAGCGGTGACTTGGGAAGACAAACACCATCATCACCCCAAACATCCCCTCTTCTTCCTTCTTTCCCCTACTTTATATATTGACCATGATGTCATATCCAAGGGACTGGAATATCTCTCTGGTCAGTTTGGGTCACCTGTCCTGGCTGTGTCCCTTCCCCCTTTCCCATGCACCCCCTGCCCCCTTGTCAGCTTGGCACTATGAAAAGCAGAAAAGGCCTTGGCTCTGTTGTAAGCCCTGCTCAGCAATAACAAAACCAGCTCTGTATGATCAACAGTGGTTTACAACACAGATCCAAAACACAGCCCCACACCAGCCCCTGGGAAGAAAGTTAACTCTACCCACCCAAAGCCAGCACAAGTGTTGATAGGGCTTGATTTCCCATCCCTTCACAAATCCTTCTCAGTTCCTGAGGAATATGTGTCAAAATGAAAATGTGAAGTGGCTTGTCCTCCCAGGGCATTGCACAGTGCTGCAGCTTCCTTTTGGCTTTTCCTTACCTGTAGAAATACTCCTCAGTTTCCTCACAGTGAATTTTACTGCAGCAAAATACCCAGCAAAACAACATAAACACCCCAGACACTCCATTTAATTTTTTCCAAGAATAAAGCAAAAAGAAGGAGATGCTGTTTCACACCATTAATAATACATGTTAAGTGTTTGAAGGAATAATGGCCTGAAAAGCAGCTATAGGAAGTGAGAAGTACTTGCAGCATTATGTTTTTAAACTCTGAGCAATGAAAGCTCCATTGGTTTGGTTTGGTTTTCTTGGAAATATTAGTGGTCCCTCCAGATGGAATCTGAAAGTATGAGGAAGAGTTGGATTGGCAAAGGTTGGAGACTAGAATAAAGAGACCAGGAAACCAACACTGGAAGCCTGGGAAAACCTAGAAGCTAGAGAAGGAAAAAGGGTGAGTGTTGTAGGAAATAATAAATGCTAAGGAGTTTGACATTGTGCAAGGAGTTGGTACAGGATTAATACCACAATTTGTGAGGCTGACAAAATTAACTGGGGTGAGGGAGGTGTCTGACTGTTAGCCAGAGTAGAGGGGAAGAACTAACACAAGATGGAGAAAAAAAGATACCCTCAGATGCTGAAATCAGACAGAGGGACCCAAGGAGGGAATCAGATTAAACTATGTATGATATCTGGTTCCTTGTTTTATTTCTGTAAAATATTTTTGCCTGTGTAGCTTCACACAGGGTTTAGGGTGCTGCAATCCCTTTATTAGGGAGAATTTTAGACTGACAAAACATGTCAGTTGTTCATAATAATTGACAATAACTGCCTCATTCTAAATGCAGGATAATTTAAGGTGGCTAATCTCTTAGAGAAAGCAGTGTAGTCTTGTTCACATTCAGAATGGGGTAAAGATTTAGGTACCGAGGCTTCACAGTAAGTGCTGAAGTAATGATTTGCTGATTCTGAAAGGAACACTCCTGCTTTTTCCTCATTTCTGGCCACACAAGCCTGCCCTCTCTCATGAGTTAGTTCTGGCACCTACCAGACTCCTTCTCCACAAAATACCCTGTTTTCCAGGATAAGTGTTTTCAGTTTTATCATTTTTATGCTGGCATTCTGTAGTTAAAGAACACCTAAAGACAAATCTATACTATTAAATTCCTACCCATAGTCAGCGTACTGTCTCACTTGTCACATTGATTACTAGAAATTTACTTTGCCATTAATGTCAGTAGAAGTTAATGGTATGAATGCCTCTACTGGAGGAAAATATTTTCAGTGTTTGTTTAAAAAAATACTGTATATAAAGTGAATGAGAAATTAAATGCTAGCTGTAATAAAAATAAATTGTCTCTTCCAAGGAAATAGTTCAACAGTTAATAGAGAACAGTACAACATTCAGAGACAAAACAGAATTTGCTCAAGATAAATACATAAAGAAGAAGAAAAAAAAGTAAGTGAATTTTAAAATGTGGAAAATATTTAGTAATTGTCTAAGTTGTTGAGATTAAAATAAGACTCTTCCTATGTGTTTCTTACAGATATGAGGCAGTTATTACAATTGTGAAACCATCCACTCGCATTCTTTCAACAATGTATTATGCAAGGGAACCTGGAAAAATTAAGTAAGTTTTCATTCTTTTTCTTTTGTTACAGACATCAGTAAAGACGGACTGATACATGCTTTTTAATGTAGTAATAGTAGATCTAATATGCTGAGACAAAATCCTCAAATGTATGTTATTTAAGGCTTCTCAAGCATTTTTTCCTTCTCTTTCCAACATCTCTGTCACTTGGCTTTATTTTCCTATTAGGATGAGTTGTAATTTCTGTAGCCATCACTAAGGCTCCTGAGTTTGTGCACTGCAGGCAGCAGTGTCAGGTTTTGTCCTGGACTGCAGTGGTGTGTGCTACTGCAAAACAGGTGAAAATCATAAGAGATGCATTACTGGATCAGGAAATGCATTTATACCATTTGTTCTCTACAAAACTGACATGTCAGAGAAAGAAGAGAAAAACTTCAAAATTTAAAAACCTGACACAGCACAAGGGGTCCACTTTAATGTGCGCACCCTCCTTCACATCCTACTTTTGCTGTTTATTCCTTGCTAATTTCTCGTTGGCTTTTGGTTCTGGTTCTTCTTCATTACCAGACGGTTAATTAGGAGTTTCCACACGGTGACCGAGGATCACTGACACTGTTTGGAAAATCTACCTGCAATCCAACGTTTTTGGCAGGCTCCTGAGCCGACGAGGCAGTATTTCTGACTACTCTGATGTTTCTTAAACCCTCTGCCTTCCAGCCACCTCAGATATGACACCCTGGCTCAGATGCTTACCCTGGGAAACATCCACGCTGGCAACAAGATGATTGTTATGGAAACATGTGCCGGCCTCGTGCTGGGAGCCGTGATGGAGCGAATGGGGGGTGAGTTACACAGTAGCTTGAGTAATGAACACACCTAAACCTACCTGAAACTTAAAATACACATCTCCGTGATACTTTTAAAAGGCAGCAATTCAAAATAGCTTCTATTTTATAGTCTAGTTTTAGTGTCTCTGGTATTCAAAGAGATACTTGTTTTTCCACTGGAGAAAGTTGCATTTTGCATCTTTCAGTTGGATTTGTTTTTCAATATTTAAGAAACCTAAAAAAATTTATAGCTAAATTTGATAGAATTGTTTGTATTATGAAATATGATTAAATTGATATCTCTGTATGTAGATTTCTTTTAGTTCCTGTCTTAGTTCCTATGTTTAGGAAAAGCTGTAAGGAGCTTGTATGTAGATTCTTCCCAGACACCTGGGAGTCCAGGAAAGTGAATGGCAGAAAACAGGAATAGCAGCACTGGAATTCAGACGGCCTACAGCACTGAAAATGTTGCCATTCCTCTTGTTCACTGCACCAGATTTCATGTGTATTCTGCAAAATGTGTATTTTTAAATTACGTGGTGTTTTCTTGAGGATATTCTAGGAGAAATTTGACTGGTTTTTAAACTCAGTTAATCAGTTTCATCATGCAAAGACACTAGACAGAGGGGACAGTTATATTCCAGAAGCCTGGAAAGGTGGGAAGTGTGATGTGATGTTGTGCACACAGACATGCTGTCTGTTGGCTGAGAAGGACACAGGCAGTGGTACTACAAATTGGGTTTGTTGCAGCAACTTTTGGCCACAGAGCTACTTTTTGAGGTAAATTAAATAAGATACAATTTCAACATAACTCCTGAAAGGGTATTTTTAGTATGTTTAAACAGCTCTTCCATTAGAGCCTGGATGTTGAAGAAATTCTTCGCCTAATAATACTGTTCAAATTAGCTTTTGTTTTTTATCAAAGCAAATCCATAACTAAGTAACAAAAACTGCAGAAATTTTGTGTGTTGTTAATTATCCTTTCTAACAATTTGCCACTGCTTATATGATGTGAGCTAATCCTAAATACGTGTTTGATACGCAAATATTCCATGAGTTACCTTGTCCTTTGGAGTTGCAAAGTGTTGTCCTTTCAATAAAGATCTTCTACCTTGAGGCACAAGTTCCACAGCTTGTTAAATTTGATGGTTGGATTAAGAGCAGAAAATTTACTTTCCTATTCTTAAATGAGCACTTCATTCAAGCATTTTGGAAGTTTTGAAAATCTGGCAGTTTAAGAATTCTGGCTTTCCAACGTGTTTTGATTCTTTTGCTCTCCTAGGCTACGGATCCATCATTCAGATGTATCCAGGAGGAGGACCTGTGAGAGCTGCTACCAGTTGTTTTGGATTTCCAAAACCTTATTTTGACAATCTTCATGAATTTCCTCTCAGCAAAGTGCACAGTCTCCTCTCTGGGACATTTTCTACAGAGACTCTGCCTTCAGATCCTGAAGATAATGCACTGGTGGAAGAAGAAAGCAATGGATTGACTGATGAGAAACAGACTTCCCTGCAGGAAACAGAAGAGGAACCTGCTACTGAAGCACCTATGGAGATCAACCAAGCAGAAGAGCAAGAAACAATGTACATTAATACTGAAGATGTAGAATTTAAAGAGAACAAAGAGAAAGAAAATAAAGAAAATGTAAGAATATTTATTGTGGCTATTCAAGTTTTTCAGTTTCTGTATACATAAAATTCTGCTGTCTGAATCAGATGTACTGAAATACAGCTTGTTCAGGTGTTAAAATGGAATTCTGGAAGTTGTTTCTTTGTCTTACATTAAGACATAAGATGCAAAAAATGAAAACTCAGTCCATGCAATAGTGACCTGATATAGAATTACCAGTTAAAAGTACAAACTATTTGTTTTGTTGTTCAAAGGTTCGGGAAAAGCAAATGAAACAATGGGAGAGAAGAAAAAAGCTCACAGAAGCTGCTGCGTTGTTGAGGGAAAAGAATGCTGATGGGTGAGTTTGTTTGTAGTTGTCTTCCTGGTTTAGGAATGTTATTCCCCAGTTTAGTGTTCCCACTGAAACACCCCGGACCACACACCACTCACTGCCTGCCCTGCTCCCCCCTCCGTGGGATGGAGAGGAGAATTGGAGGCACAAAAGGTAAAGACCACGGGTTGAGATAAGAACAATTTACTGGAAATACCAATGAGATAAGAAACCAAGTGGGTCTTGTTTAATTCTTACCTGTTAAGATTTTTTTCCTATTATTTAAATGACTTGAAATTTCATGATCTAGAAACCAACTAATTATGAGTAAATATTAAAATAAAAATTCACAGGTATCAGTGAAAACCCAGAATCCAGGTAGAATCCAATACAAAATGACTGCCAAAAAAAATCACGGGATTTTAATTGGCAAAGTAGAACCTGAGGTTTTAAGTTTATCAAAGTGGAACTAAATTTGTTGGTTTGGGGCTTTGATTGGTTGGTTTCTTTTTAGACACTCATTTCTTTTTTACACAGGAAAAAAACCCATATAAATTCATTTTACCTGCTGTTACTTCCAATGAACAACTTCACACAAATATTTAATATCATAAATTTAAAACAAATACTATAAATATATTCTTAGAAATACGGCCCTACAATAGTGTAGGAGCATTTGGTGATTGCGACATTTTCTTATGTTCTTAGCAAATGCTGAAGTGATTTGAGTTAACCAAGTAACGTTAATTAGTTAGTTAATTGAATAACATTAACACTAACTTTTTCTCCAAAGACTGTTGGTTCACTGGGAATAAAGCTTTTCTGCTCTGATAAATTTTAATGCACATTTATTGGTTGTGTTTAAATGCTTGTGCATAGTTTTGCTTTTATTATTATGAAATGTTTTAACTCCTATGTTCATTCATGTACCTCATGTAGCAGCATGTTTAAGCGGTAGAATTAATTAGCCTTTTTCATTAAAATGCAGAAACAGGTCGTTGTGTGTTCTCTAAAGCAATAAAATGGTAAAGGATTGGTAAAAAACTGGTTAACGTTGGTGGGGAGAAAGATAAAGGACTTACTGGCAGAGTAAAGAAAAACTGGTTTTTAGATAAGGATGGGCAACCAACTTTAGAAAAATTAATTCTTGAGGCCCTGAATTTAACAGGGTTTACTACTTAATGTAGAAGATACCATTTCAACAGAATTTCTGTCTTCTATGCTGTTACGTGGTACAACATTGCTTGTCTGATGTAGGTCACTGAGGGGGAAAATGAAGATGTTAATTGGCTATTTTGGTATTCTTTTAACGAAGACTCGTTTTCTGGTAGACTTTTTCTGATATTATGAAAGCAGAAACTGTTTTGTGGACACTCCATGTGTTCAGAATTAGACCACCTCCTTCCCTCTGCCATTCCCTGCGCTTCCCCTACCTCTTCCTGCTCCCCGCCTCACCCATTCCATTAATTTTGTGGCTGGCCAGGCTGCCTGCTGGCAGCAAGATGTGCTGCCATATGAAAGAACAGTTTGGTTTTCCACGGTCTCCCATCTCTCACTTATCTTCCTGTCTTCTGGCAGAGCTCCTGGCAGTGTCAGTGCTGCACTCCAAGACTTCTGAGGCCCCAGACAGAGTCTTGTCTTTATGACCTGCTCGATAAATTACCGAGCACAGTTTTTTCTGAGGTTTTGCATTTGAAGCAAATGGCTCACGAAGGCCATGGCTGGCAAAAAACCAAAATAGAAACAACTGTAAGAGAATTGTCTCACCTCTTTATCTCTGTTGTATTTAGAAAATTGAACAACCATTTTCACCTACCTTTTGTTAGACAAGTTTAACTGTGTCTCCAGTGCTATAGGTTCCCCTGGAGAACAAATGTTAATTAATGGGTCATCTAATGTGATCTCTGTAAACTAGGAAAGTAGTTTAATTATCCCACTCTTTCTGCACAAGCACAACTTATTACTAATTTACTCAACCATTTCTTGCAATCTGGTTTGGTAGTGAATTTTTGGATTTAAACTGGAGATGGCTGTAGAGAATCTCAACCACCTGTAGCTCCAAGCTGTACTATGATACTGAAACAAGGATGGAGAATTAAATAAGAAACCTTTGAGTTTGAAAGGACATAATTTAAAAGATTTTTAGTCATGCCTATTAGGGGGTTATTTTCTCTCTAAATATTCTTATATAAAACTGTATTTAATGAAGACTACCCAGTCTAAAGAATCACGACTGAAGTTGCATTCTAAGCAACAATTAGCAGTCACAAAATTTAAGCTGTATTTGGAAAATGGTTTTGGGGCAGAGAAAGCAGCATGCAAAGTGAGTTGTCAGAATTATTGTGGAGCTCACCACAGCTGGAATGAGTGCTTCTGCAATTCATTTAATATTCTGCACCTTAGGGAGGGAGTGTTTTAGGCTCTTAATTATGCAAGTGGAAAGTCATGATTTGTTTTTATATTTGGGGAGTTGTTAGAGACATGAAAACATGCTGATGAGCAACTTCTAAGCTGTAATTGATTGCTTTACTAAGTAGGAGGAAATGTCACTTAATGAGTAGAAAACTAATAATGTGCACATTTGTTTTGCAGCCTAATTGTAGCCAGCAAGTTTCATCCCACACCCTTATTACTGTCTTTATTGGAATTTGTTGCTCCTTCAAGGCCTTTTGTTGTCTACTGCCAGTATAAAGAGGTAAATCAAGCATGTTACTTTAGCTACTTACTGTTCAAGTTCGATACTATTCTGCCATATAACCTACTATTTGGGGTTTTTTTTTTAAGCCATTATTAGAATGTTACACAAAGCTGAGAGAAAGAGGTGGAGTCATAAACCTAAAGCTGTCTGAAACCTGGCTACGAAACTACCAGGTAAGGATCATAGTAAGTGGCTGTGAAAACTGCAGATACTCAAATACCGGGGAGCAAAACAGTCCCTGAAAATTTTGGAAACAGTGAAAACAATGAAACAATGTATAAGCTCATGCATTTGTTTTACCCATGAGTAGCGGGCCTTCTGAAGAATTTTAATGCTTCATTGTAACCACTTCAAATGGCAATACTTTATTTTGTTCTCACAAAGCATTTCACTTAAGCACTTGCTGAAATATTTGTAGCAAAGTGTTGTACTTTAGTGGCCAACCCAAAGCGCTGTCATGTGAGAGAGACGTAGCAAAACATTACAAGTGTTTATTGTTTCCAGCTGGTTTGACAGCTGAAAAAGATGTGTAATGTTGAGAATGGTGGTGACTTATAAATCTATCATCTTCAAATAGCACATTTCCTGGAACCCAAGTAACAAGTTTCTAGTCTGGGAACTGGACAATAAAAACACGATGAGAGGGGAAAATATCACCACGGTGAGAAATGTGTTGTGGGGTGGGTTTTGATTGTGTTTTGTTGTTGTTTGCTTTTTTAAAGGTCTTACCAGATCGAAGCCATCCAAAACTGACAATGAGTGGAGGTGGAGGGTACCTTCTGTCTGGCATCACTGTTGTCTTGGATAAGGGCAAATCTGACTCCAGTAATTTAGAAGCACTGAAGATGGAGGAGCCATCACCTAAAAGATGCAAAGTTCAAGACCTTCACTGTTAACATTTGGAGAATTGATTTGGTTTTTTAGGCCTCAGGAGTCTTACTGTTAGTAAAATGCCTATACTTTCAGTGCTCTTGACAGCACAGAAATTGTACCTGTCACACACCTGTCAGAAAAAGCAGCAGAACTGTGTGGTGGGAGGATTGTCTCAACTCCTTAGCAGTTTACATGATCTGAACGTGAAAAAGAACCCCTGGAAGCAAACAGCACACTGAAATCACTGTAATTTCAGAAAAAAAGGAAGATAAAGCATCAGTGAAGGCATTCTGTTTGTTTGTTGCCAAAGTCAAATATGACGTAGGTTTTTAAAAGGTTGAGTCCGAATCAACATATCTAACTTAGCTTTCCATTTTCCTGGAGCAGCATCAGAGAATTCTCATCAGCATTCTGTGTGATCTGCTCCCCCTTTGGACACAGAACTCGGCTGTTTTCAGTAATTTAAGAAAGTAGAATGAAGAGAAGAAAAAAAAATCATACCCTTTTTTTTTCTGAAGGAACAATAAAAAGAGAAAATTAATGTTAGACATGACCCCATGTTTCCCTGAAATAAATACAGAAGAGAAAGTGCATGTTCTTAAATTAAAATACTGAGTATTTAAACAGAATGTCTCTATTAGTATTGTCTGTCATTTTCTTGAGAGTTGTTATATATTTTTAAGATACATCTATTTTGAAAACTGCTATATGTATATATATTTATTCTACTGTTTGATCTTTCAAGATGTCAGCTTTTTTATGGATTTTTTTTTTTAACTTTGCATTTGCCATGTCAATTAAACTGCAGGGTGTTTTTCCTAATGAGATTTATCTTCTTTTTCTTACTTTCCCCTCTTGTTGGAAATAAAAAGGTCTAGCACAGGCTTCAGGAGAACACCTTTGCTGTCTGCACCCCATTGCGCCCCTGGTCAGAGCTTTAGGTCCACGTGGGAGCTTGTGGGGCCAGAAGGACTTGGCTTCTGCTCTTGAACTTACTTATCAGGTTCTGGACTGACTGGACAGACTCTGGAGACTCTCTCTGAGGACAACAGGCACAGGGTATTACAGCTTTTATCTACTGCTGGGTTTTGCAAACTTTCCAGTGTTGTTTTTCTACTTTTATGGGAAGTTTCTTTCTCTTTTCTTCTCCTACTTCTGTGAAAAACCCATCAGTGGAGAGGATGCAGGTCTCACCATCTCCTCTGTTCCACCTGCCCCGTGGATCTGAAAAATGTGCTTTGCCTGTCTCACCCTTCCATTCAGTGCCAAGCGTGGCAGATCACATGAGAGAACAGAAGTGTGATGTGTGGTTCCTAGGCAGCTTTTTTTTTTAAATTCTGGATTTCTTAAGTTCTCTGAAGAACTAGCAGCGAAAAGCTGGATGTACGTCCACACTGAAGGGAAACCGGGACTTTGAAAGCGGCCAACACCCAGTACACGATGAAATCCTGAGAGAACACAGCTTAGAGCAACGGACAGGACCCTGGAAGCTTGGGAAAGGATGAAATCCACATAAGCCAGGAGACTCATAATGAAAAACTATCTTCTGCTTCGTTTCTCTTACCTGTAAAGCAGGCACAGGTACTTCTCTGCCACTTCTGTTGGGCTGGCAGGTACACGAGTGGCCTGTCTTAACGGAGCTACAAAGATGTGAAAACTTACCCAGTAAAAGGTGAACTACCAGCATGTTTTAAATCCTGCCTATCATATACACTGTGGCAATAAAAATAACAGCACGAGGAAAAAGAATTATTTGTATAATTAAAAGATCAGTTTGAGAAATAGACAGTATTGGAACACCTGAGAGGTTGGCTTAGATCAAAGCCAAATAGGCTGCGTTTCACCAGCATTAACACAAACACGGCCTCGATCCTGAATTGTGGTTCCCAGTTTCCAAGTGAGCCACAATGCTTGTACCAAGGAAAAACAATAAGGGGAAAGAAAGAAATCACCAGCGATACTTCAAAATGACAGCACGTGTTCTGTAGGTGATGGCTGAAGAGCATGGCTTGAGGTACCGTTGTTCCTATTTCAATTGAAACGTGAATATGAGACACCAGCACAGCAGGAGGGCTGTAAAAACCACATTTGGATAAGTGGTTAAACTGAACTCCAGATATTTGGGGTAATTGAAACTAATTATGGGATCACTTATTTTACTGCTCTGTAGTTGTCCTAAGATCACCAAAAGGCTCCTTCCACACCCCCCTCACTCATGTATGTGATACAGATAAGCCTGAAACAACCCAGTCAAGTAAGCAGGGGGAAAGTTTGGTCCAAGATCAATGGTTTTTATTATTGCAAACTCAGACAAATATATTTCTGAAGAACACTAACACAATTATTTTCAAAAGCCTATTAAAAATATCTGCCCACATGAAAGGTTATGATACTAAAATTCATGCCATTCTGATCTCAGTAGCATAACAGCAAATTAAAGACATTTTCAGCTGTATAAATCACTACACTATAGTGGACAGTAAATAGTATTTCCTGGGTTTAGGGCAAACAACAATCCAGTGGCAGTGAATTTACCATGGAACACGGGTACTGCGAGTGCAGCTACGCCAATCTCTGAAACCCCAAACACCTTCAGCCTCTCCTGAGGCTGTTCAACTTCTCTGCTATACTCTGCAGCTCCAAATCCATAGCAGCCAGGTTTTCCATTTCTTTTTCCTGTGAAAACATAAAGAGCATTTTTTTTTAACTCATCAAATAACCTCGGCAAATATTTTGTTCCATGAAAACGAGAGAAAAGGCCATTTCTATGTAATGGTCCCTGAGCAGACTGCTGGGGTAAGAGGTGTTAACAGCATATGCTTTGTGCAGTTTCCTGCTTTTATCTGAACTCAGGGGAAAATATCAGAATACTCATTCTGAGAGCTGGCCCTAATTACAGGCTAATCATTGCAGACTTAAAGCACCATTAGTGGTGACTGTCCCGCTCTCTCCCAGCTGCGGTCCCTTCTGCTCAGGTGAAGGTCCTCTAGGAAGCCACAGCCACAGTCACAGTGGTTCAGCAAGAGGAACATCTCCACAATGACAGAGGGTAGGAGGAGGTTTATGCTGCCAATTCTTGTCTGTTATGACTTGCTAACACCATTCAGCATCTGGAGAAATTCGCATTAAGCCTCCACTGCTCCCAGTGACCGGGAAGTCTATAGATGGCTGATTTCACCCTAAACATCCAAGTTACTTTCCAACTATATGCTTTAAACAACCTGACAGACGAAGTGGTGTTTGTCAGTTACCTCTCTGCTCCTGCTGCCACTGGCATCTTTTTTATTAGTCTGTTATTATTTTATTTGGGCCCAAAGGGGAAGACAATCTCCTTTCCCTTCCTGTCTTGCAGCAGGCAGAAGTTAATGTCTTAATTTTATAAACCGTGCCCTGGGGTAGTTCACCAAATTCAAAGTTCCACCATTCAAAGAAAGCAGATTTTTAGATCACTGAACATCTGACTCTCAATGGGACTTAATCTTGTTTGTGTTTTTCCATGCACAGTTTACCAGCTGCCTTGGGAATGGATTTGGAAATGTGCATATGAAGCTTCTCCCAGCTTTTCAGAGAAACACCTGTACACCTACCTCCTCTTCTGTCAAAGGCCTCTTGCTTAGATTTCTTCTGTCATACCCAGTTATCTGACGTTTTTTCAGGTCTTCTCCAGAGCTGTACAACTCTGGGAATTCAGCTGATTTCTTCCTGTAATTCAGAAGTTTTGCAATTTGATCCACCTTGTCGTATTGCCTTTCCACATCATTTCTGTTAATTTTGCCGGGATTCCTCTTCTCAGTGCGTTTGTGCTTCAGAGCACTCAGGATTTGCTTTTCCTCCCACCAGTCATAGTCATTATATTCAGGGAAAGGACTCTTCTCGTTCAGGGCAGACCTGCTTTCCTCTCTGCCCTCCAAAAGCTGCTCTCCTGTGCTGTCCCTCTTCTCAAAGTGCCGGCTTTTCCACCACAGCAGCGGGTAGAAAGGGCTGTAGGATGCTGTGGTTCTCTTCTGATTCTCTGCAGGGAGACTGCTTCTGTACTCTTCCCTCTCTGCATATCTTTCCTCCTCATCATTTTCCACCTGATCACTGCTGTGATGCTTCTTTTCTACCTCCTCCTCCTCCTCCTCCTCACTATAGCTGGGGTAGCGCTGCTGCTCCCCCTCGTCCTCGGTGCTGTGGCGTCTCCTGGCCTGCCCTCTGTGCTCCCAAGCAGATGCTTTCTGTGACCCTTCCTCTTCATCATTCCAGAGGCGGTATCTTCCTCCAGCATGACGCTGCTTCTCCTTGCTGCCACCGCTGAGGTAACTGTCCGGCTCTTCCTCATTTTCATCTGCAAGGTACATCCTTCCCTCGGAACGGTGCCTCCTGGCCTCATGTGATCCGTCGTGATGTCTCCTCTCCTTGTGCCATTTCTCATTACTTTCTTCAGTGTGGCGATACCTCTTGTTTTCTTCTTCACTGCTCTCTTCACTGCTCTCTTCACTGCTCTCTTCCCTTTGCTGCCACCTGTCTCTGTACTTCTCAATTCCCTGGATTGAAAGCCTCTTCTCCTTCGCCTCCTCAGACCCACGTCCCCCATGATAACCACTCTTCTCACGCTGCTCTTCCTGCTGTTTCTGATGGTGGTTCCATTGGTTCCAGACACGGGTCTCCTCTGTGTCTGATTCCTCAGCTACTTCCCCTTTCTCACCAACACGGCCCCTCTTGTCTTCATAGGAGTCACCCACTCTGTGCTTCCCATGGTATCGTTTGGGTTTGTAGGGTTGCTTTTCCTCCTCTGTTTCTTCACTCTCATCAGATTCTTCACGCTCTTGCTGGTGGAAGAAATCACGTTCCTTAGACTCACGGTGGTACTTTTCACTTCTTTCTCCCTCTCCCTCTTCACCTTCATGAACTTCTCTGTAAGGGCTCTGCATTCCCTCCTCCGAGTGCCAGCGGCCCGCGGGGCGCTGACCATTCCCATCACGGTCATCTGTGCTCGTGCCTCCAGAGTGAGACTTCTTGTTGAGAACAGCGTGTTCCACATCTTCATCACAACACCTGCTCTCTTTGCTTCCTTCTTCACCGTGGTAATTCTTCTCCTCCTCTCTTCCAGCTTCCTGATAGTGGGTTTTTTCTTCTGCGTAAAGTCTCTCATCCTGAGCAGGCGTGTGGTGTCCGGCCTCGTCTTTCGTGCTTTTGCCTTCCTCTTGAGCAAGTTTCTCCTCATCACTTTCTTTCACGTAGTTTTTAGATTCCTCTTCTGCCTGACTTTGTTCTTGCTCCATGCTCCCAGTGCGACGTTTTTCAATCTCTGCTGGGTCTTCGGAGTGCCTCACTTCAAGCTGTTTGCTTTCACTTCTCTCTCTGTCGTTTCTACCACCTATAACACCAAGAGCAGCACAATGGAGTAATCCAACTCTCCACTGAAGTGTTATTTCAATGCAAATACAAAACTGGCTTCACAAAGTAGCAAGAAGATTTGGACAGAATTGATTTCCTTAATTCTGCTTTTAAAATCAGTAATTTGCTAATATTTTGTATGCTTACCTGGAAGAGGATGAACTAATTTTCCTTTAATTAGGCATCTTAAAAGTTCCCCTGGAATTTCCAGAATAATTTTTCCTCTTTGTTTTTTTTTTTCTTGGTTTGCTATCATGTTTTTAGTATGGAATTAAATTAGCTTTAATTTCCACTAAAAATCAGTGGGATCTGGAGTTGTGTTCAGTTGCTTGAGTGTCAGGCCTCACCCATCACATGTGATTATTCACAAAAAAGACAACCACCTATTTCAAGCTACTTGAAAATATTAGGGGGTTTTAGCAAATTTTGAAAGTTTCAAGTTGACTGAAAAAAAAATTAAAGAAATCTGTTGCTTTGCAATAGTTATGTTTAATCAAATCATGTTCCTTTGACTATTTCTGGAGTGCTAAATGGAAGTCTGACTTTGTATATATAACAACATACTTCTATGAAGATGTTTCTGCTTCACTTCAGTCTGAGTAACATCAGAAATAGATCACAAATCCTCAAAGTTTTCAGACAATAGCTGCACAGATTTAGAAATACCTCATTATTTATGAGAAGTTTCTCATCACCTGCTACTCTTGGATCTGTCTAAGGGCAAAAATATGGTGCTTACCCTCTCTTTACAGTAACTGGTTTTTTATTTTCCAAAACATGACAAATATCCAGGGGGTTGGATTTTTTCCTGAAATTACCATGTCATAAACGAAGCTTGATGGCTTTCAGCATTTCCTAGGAATCTGGGGCTGAGTTAGATAAAAATACATGTTTTCCCAAAGCGTAAACCCTACTCTCTTCTGATGACTGTATGAGGGCCATGCACGATTCCCTCTATGAACAAGGAGGAGACAGATTGATTTCAGTGTTCAGTGACTCAGCTGCCTTGTTGATTTAAGTGCTGATTTGATTTGAAGACAGCTCCTACCCTCTGGAATACCTTCAGCACATGGTCCAAACATGGTCACATTCGTTGACTTCTCAGGCTACCTAAAGAGTCTGCCAAATTCTCTCAGATTCTCCAGGTGGTTTAAGTAGAGAGCCACAAGTGTTAGCCAAGAATCCCTGACAACTACCAGGTCAGGCTGTTTGTTCTTTGAGTAGGAGAGACTAAACAGAGGGAAATCAGAATTTTGACACTAAAATTTGGAGGCACCAGTTTCACACAGGCTGAAATAACAGTTCACCAGCTCCGACACAAGACAGAAACCATCTTAATTCCTTTGACAAGTCCAGGTAATGTTGTACTTACTCTTCTTCAGGATTTCTCTGCATTCAGGATTAATTGGTGGTGCACTTGGCTTAGACAGAGCATTGGACAGAACTTCCACTATGCACTGGGTTATCTAGAAGAGACAAAATAGGAAAATAAATTCTCATGGCAAAAATGGAAATCTTACTACTGATCCAGTTGGTAGAAAAGCTAGTTTAGGATTAGAGTTCAGGCTATTGTTAATGAGTTTTGAGTAATCCCCAGCTCTAACACAAGTTCTTGTGCCTTTGGCCAACAACTGCTTTGTTCTTCACAGTATCAGTAAGAAGAGAATAGTCACAAGTTCTTTTTATCTCCCCTTTTGTTTGCACAGTTAAAGGCTCCTTTTGTACCTTTTTACATATTAAATACCCTATTCAGTACAAAGGAGAGTCAAACAATGTGAGGTAACAGCACCCTACAAAAAAAAAACCCCAAACACAACACACATGCAAAGGATGAGAATCATCTTGTAGGATCTGTCCAAATGAGGCAAAGGCACAAAGGTAGTTTGGGTTGCCAATAAACCAAACCCACCTTTGTGTCCTCTGTAAGTGACCCGCTCCACATCTTTTCATGTGTGTGTGCTGTAAGCCCTGCCTGTTTTTCAGTGCTTCACATTCAATTGCATAGTCTTCTGGAAGCAGAGGAAATTGATTCAGGAAAGTCACACAACCTCCTCTAATTCTAAGTGCTACCAACGTAGCTCCTCTGTACAAAATGAATTTCAAGTGTTGAATCTGTTGGTTGTGAGCAAACACTGGGGGTACAAGAGCTTCAGGTCGACCATCTGGGTGGCTGACTGGGAAGAGACAATAAAACATTTATAGAGCTTATCTTTTAACTGTTTTTAGTTATTACCAGGTGCTTACTAATCTAAATGATCACGTTAACAACCAATGCAGAGGGTCTGAGCTGATGGCATTTATTTAATCACACAGGTTAAGAATCTCTTTCTAAAGCAGGAGACGAGAGGACTGCACTAGAAAGTCTGTTGCATAGTTGGTAACTGTAGATATTTCATCTTTCCTCAAAGTTGCCATCTCACCCTACACAGTACAATATCATGTTCTATCAAATATTTCAGTTCATTTTTCAGGAAGCTGCACAATGCACAGCTCCAGAAGCACCACACTGACACGAGAACAGCTTCTCTTTCCATCAAGTGCATTGAAGTGCACACGGGTGTCTTCTGACAGCTAAAGGGACTCTTAAGTTCCACATCAGCAATGATCTGTTAGGAGTTTTACCCTTAGGAAAAGAACCATTACCCTGAGAGTTTAGAGACAGAAGGTGGAGAACACGTCACTGATAATTTTCTGAAGTTTGCTTTGACACACAGATACTCACCATTTCTTCAGTACGGTCTTTTTCTACTGGAACTGCGCTGACACCTGCAAGGAAAACAAATTATTGCAGACTCATTAATACTGGCAACAAGCATCGGTGACAGGAGTTCTCAGTCAAACTGGTCTGATGAGACAGCTTTAGTTTTGGGTTGGCTGGTCAGTAAACCAGGCGCATTCCACATAAAATCTTCCCTTTTTCGGATGGAAAAGCAAAGTAAGGTTGCAGCATAGCACAAGAGAAGAGGCATGTTAAGATTTCTAGCACTGAAAGAATATACACCACCAAAAAAATCCCACCCCAAAAAAACCCCACTACCAAAAAACCAATTAACAAAAAAAAAAAAAGAAACCAAACCCCCATACAAAACACAAACCAAACAAAAACCAAAACGAAACAAAAAACCAAAACCAAACCACCAAAAAAAAAAAAAACAAAACCCCAAACCCCCCAAAAAACCCAAACCAAACCCCACCCCAAACAGGAAACAAGCAAGGCCTGTTTGCACCCCAAGAACCTTTTGTTTTCTGCAAGAGGCTCTAGGTGCAACCCCCCTGCCAATAGGAGACCGTTCTTCAAGACTTTAAAGCAGCTTGGATAGGAGGCTGGAGGGAAGGAGAGAGCCAGAAGGCACAGAAAAATTTCCATTCACTGAGTGGTCCATTATCAATTCAAGAAATAAGCAAAAAAAACCAAATCCCAGTGGAAAACTACTGCAGAAGGAAGCAGTACAACATATCTCTCTTTGTCCTGAGGACAAGTAGGGTAATTAACACCTCCTTGTGCCACTTCTACTGTACCTGGTCGAAGGTATTTGCTTTTGTAAAGAAGCTATTGCCAACAAAACCTCCATTCTGGTTTATTTTGCCATCACTGCTGCAGTACATCTCCAGCTGGTTAATGAGCTGGGCTGCTGGGTATTATTAATTGTGTCAATTCTCATCCACCTTGAGGTTTCCAGAAGTGAAGTCAGGCACGCCTGCCAGCAGCACAAGACTATGTAGAAGCAAGCCCTATTCTACCATGGCTTCACAGAGTTCCCACACAGTATAGAAGCAGAGTACACAAACACACAGCTTGGGGTGCAGTTCTGAAGTTCTTACACGAGTCAGGATGGTCTTACACATGACTATCACTCTCTCTGCAATACTGCTTGGTTGGGACGGCGAGATCTGTAGCAGATGAACACAAAGCACATCATGGAGACAAAGGAGGTCAGTTTACCTTACAGCATCGGGAGACCTCGCACTGTCCCAAGGAAGCTTCCCTGCAAAGCACACAGGAGCATGCAGCCCTGCACTATTTAAAGCAATAAACCCTTTATTTTCTGTGTTTGCAGAGGAAGCAGACATCCCCTTGAGCACTGACTCAGTGCCTAACAGCTGAACATAACGCAGTATTAACTCTCTTGATATTTCTATCGCCCTCTATTTCTGCTCCCCGCAAACACGTATGTAGGAACGTGCTTCTCCAGCCCCCATCTCTTCTCTGCGTGCACAACTGAGATCAGAGAAGGGAACCCACACAAGGATAGCACAGAAGGGATTCCCCTAAAATAGCACTCCATCATCTCCCCAGAACGCCAGGTGGTGTGTAGGGGGAGATCGTGCTCAGAGCCAACCCTCTCCCACACCTTTTGTGTTCAGTGCTGACTGAGCCAGGCTTTAGGCTCCTTTACTAACCCAGTATGCAAATAACTATCACACAGCACAGCACTGACGCTGCTGCAGTCCAACCTGCCTGCAGGATCCATCTGAGCATGGAGGATAAGGATGCACATGCACGTGGGGGGCAAGAGACTGGCCTTCTACTAAAAAAAAAGGTGTTATCCACTAAAAGGGCACTCTCTTGAGCCCACAGGTTTTGGAGATGCTGCTCTAACAGCATGAGCTGCTCACAGTCACCACTTGCATGTGAGCAGAGGGGATGACCTGCTTCATTGCCTCTTCTTGGGAGAGGCCCCTCTGGTCCTCCAGCCCATGAGAAATCACGACACGCACAAGGGCAAACATCTGATTTTGTCCTTTTAGTGATGCAGTCACAGCACCTCTCCTGTGAGTTACACCCAGGTGATGCGATAAAGCAAAGAACAGACCAATTTCTGAACACCTTTTGCTACTACAGGTGCCAACTTCAGGCTACCTCTCGAGCCATCAGTGCCACAGGAATATAAAGTCAGGTTATGTTCACTGCCTTTGCCAGGTCATCCAAAAGCTCACGTCTCAGCAAGTGCCTGGTTAACAGCAAAAGCTGACACACACAAAGAGGAAGCATCAGGCTCTCATAACAATGTCAGAAGAAGCAAATGGTATTGGGATTATGTCATATTAACCTGCCTGCAGAAATAAGATGAGCATCCAATCCATCACACAGCCTGAAATAATATACTGAGGCAGCTGCTCTGCCAGAGCTGAGGTAGGAAGCCAGTGAGGAGCCAGCATGGCCCACTTTACACCGGTGCTGGCAGTGCCAGCCCACGCCAGCTGGCAAGAGCTCCCTTAGGGCTGGCTACCTGCTAGGTGAAGATGGCTGGCCAATGTGTCTGCCTTCCTCTCCACATGTGCTCCCCCTGACACCAATAACAGAGTCAGGCAGCAGGGCACCCACCCAGTGGGCTCACAGGGACCCAGCAGATGGTGTAACTGCAAGGCTTCACAGGAGAAACAAAGTCAGAACACATGCCAATAGGGAAACCTTTCCCCTGTCCATGCAGGAAAGGACAGACCGCAAACCTACAAAGTAAAGCAAAGCCTGGGTCTGCTTTACCCTCCTGAACCAAGTCTGCCCAGGCAGTTATGATCAGATTATCTGATTTTTGCCTCAGTGCTGAGAGTTGTTGAATATCATGAAAAACGACGAGAAACGCAGGACAAATCCACACAACTTTTGTTTGCATCTCCAAGACCGAGACAGATCTTTGGGTGGGTTTATGATGAAATCCCCACATGGCTTTCTTTCATTAATGCTGATGACTCAGTGCAGTGTCATTCCTCACCAAAACGTCAGCAATGTCTTCCTAGGAAGGATAACTAAACTTTGGCATATAGATCTGCAGGAGTACTAGAAAGTTCTTGAAGTTAATGTTTCACTGAGTCGACATATGAAAGCAAGACAGCCACAAAGGATATAAAGAAGTACCTGATCTTTGATGGCATAAACAGGAAAAAATATAAGATAATAAATTCCCATAGATCTGTGGAGTAAGTCTGGTGAGATTCTCTGTGTTGGGGTCTCTTCCCCCATCTTCCACCCTCCCCTTTTGACTTCAATAAAGGCACGTGAAGGTAGTCAACTTCCTTACAGTCTCTGCACAAGTCCCAGAAGCATTTCCATGTGGAGCCTTCTGGTAGACCTAAAGCCGAATTACTCAACCCAGAATGACACTGACTCTTTCAAGCAATTATGTAGTATGTACCATAAAGCCAAGCCATCACCTCATTCTATTGTGTTTAATGTTCATTTCACGGTGGGATTTTAATATTTAATGCTGCATGCCACAAAAAATATTTGTAAAAATCCTGCTAGTTAAAGCTGCACTGCTGATACTTCACCATCGGTACCAAGCACCGGCTGGCAAAAAAAAAAAACAACTAGCGGTACCCTTGCAATAAAACGACACCGAGAAGTCTTTGTGGAAAGATGCTGCACTGGGACAAAAATAAAGGAAGAGCAGCCGATTCCTCGCTCAGCTCCATCCCACCGCGCCCTCCCCCGCTCCCCGGGGTTGCCGCAGGGCGGGCCGGGCGCGATGCCCCGCACCCGCGGGCGGCCTCACCCCGCCGGGAACCCCTTCAGGAGGGAGCCCGTCCATGCCCGCCCCGCACCCCGCGCCCCGCGCCCGGCGGGGATGTTCCCTCGCCTCCCGCTCCATCATCCATCGGGAGCTGCCGCGCCCGCGGTGCCGCTCACCTGCCAGGGCGGCGGCGCCCAGGAGGGCCAACAGCGCCGGCGGCCTCATCTCGGCTCGGCTCCGCTCGGCTCGGCGCTGTTTAAAAGGGGGACTGGGGGCGGAGGGGACGGGCAGGGGGCCCCGCCGGGAGCTGCGTCACGGCGAGCCCCCGGGGGCGGTGCCGCCACCGCCACCACCGCCCTGCGCTCCCCCCTCCCCTCCCTTGCCCTCCCCTCCATCCCGGCCCCTCCGCACACGGCAAGTTCTCCACAGGCTGGGGGAAAGCCGAGCGCGTTTTCCCTTTCTTGGTGACTACCGCAGCCGTTCTTCCTGCCCTCCGCCTAGGTACTTGAAAGACCCCTTTGCATCCCCCCTTCCGCCCCGTCATTCCTCGGAAAAGCGGGAAAAGCGGGGCTTCCCTGCCTCTTTTCTCCAGCTCAAGAGGATGCGGTATCGTCCTCAGGTCTTTCCCACCGTCAGAGGATGCCGAGCCTCTACCTACAGGGAGGAGATGCGGCAACCCATCCCTCTTAAACAGTTTTCACAAGGAGTCACCGCTGCGTTTCCACATCCATTTCCGATCAAAGCCTCTTCAGGCTCTGCAGCAGCCTTTTCTTCTTGGAAGGTTTTTGTCCCTTCCCCTCAAATCCTTGCCCCCTCCTCTCACAGCCTCCCCCTACTCCCGCACACAGCAAACCCAGAACAGAGAATGACTACAAAGTGATCCTGGTACTTATGTCATCTGGTGAGTGAATGACATGCAGTGTTCCTCAAGAGTTTTACCGTGGAAACCACTGCTCTTAGCATCTAACTCTGCAGGCAAATCTCTTATTTACTGTGATGATGCTCTGGGGAGCCAGAGGAAACCTACAGACATCAAATTTTACCTCATTTTCTTTAACAGCCCCCACTGCCCCAATTAGTCCTTGCGACAGTTATGATGAGCTCTCCACAGAGCAAGTCCAAATGCTCCGCCCAGTTCCCTTCAGAAGCAGGCAAAGCACTGAATCTATTTTGGTTTTCTTTGCATTAACTCTCCAAGGGCCATCTCCAAATTATGTGTGTTTTTCAGTTTTCTTCTTTGTTTGTCCTCAGAGCTAAGCAGATGGCTTTCTAATTGCCAGTGTTCATGGAGGACAATGGATCTATACATCAAAATGGCAGTTATTTCTATTATTGTTCTGCGTATTATTTTATTAACAATGCCAGGCTGCTATAACCATGTAGCCTTTAAACATATAAAACAGGACACAAGAACAATACTCCAGTTAAACTCACATGAGGCTTCACTGGTGCACAAAGGAAGCAGGAACTTCAGCTCCATTTGAAGCCTGTTTCAGAAGACAGCCTTTAACACCGGGAGGCGAAACCAGACACCTTGTTCATATCGCATTTGGATTACGATTTCTGCAAAATAACAGAATCCAGTTACGTGGCCACCATGGAAAGAAAATCATCTGCTACATCTTCTCTCAGCCTCCCCCTCCTGCATTCTGTTCCCACGCTGCCTATGCAAGGCCCAACCTACCCAAAGAAGCAGATGCTTCTTTGGAAATCACCACCCTTGGCCTTGGGAAATCAAGAGTCTAATTCAAAAGACTACGACAAATTTCACTGGCTCCAAGGTCTGCATGTCCTCCTCTGCCTGTGTGGGGATTCAGCCTGTCCTCAACCTTCTCAGCTGCTCATAAGAAAGAATTTTAAGCGAAACATTTGTCTTTTAAGCCTTCTCTGCTTCTCCAGGCATATAAATAGCACTCTCTGGTTATCCTTGTGTAACTGCTCTACTCCAACATTTGCCTGGCTACACTTATCTTGAACATGACAGACAAAAGGGGCAAGTGATACAAAGATGCTGAATAAAAATAGCCAGGTATTTTAGTTCCTATGAAGTACTGACACTAAGTACCTGTATTGCACAAGTCCCTTTGACAGTCACTACAACCACCACTACAGAATTCTTCTTGCTGCAGAACAGAGAAGTGAGATTAGGCAGGCCCACACCCCTGCCTCACATGGCTTCTAATCCATCCCCTGCACCTCAGCAGGAATCACTGGGGTTTCACAGCTGTTTTCTCTGTGACAGTTGGTTTGTATTTGTCTTGCAGGATTTCTCTGAAATGCTCCCTCATCTCAGCATTGTGTGGGCTGATCCTGAAGGACCAAGAAGTCTTGTATCTGCCACTGGCAAATGTCAAAGCACTGCTGGGGAATGTTTTGCCATCAGGGTCTACACAGGAGCACAAGTTCATGCCATCAGATTTGATCAGAATTGAAATTACAAAGATTTGCAAGTCTTGCAGGAGGTCTGTTACAGGTCCAGGGACAGAACTGGCTGGAGTATATATCTAATTCCATCTTCAGGGCAGGATTTCAAAACACGATCCAGCAGACTTTTTGCCAGTACTGGAAAACCAGAGCATCCAAGCATCTTGCGCACAGTTAATTCAGTCAGACTCTATATTCAAAACAATGCTGCTTCACATGGACTCTTGCAGCCAGGTATGAGCTGGAATGAGCTTCCCCTCAGAGTAGGAGCAAGATGTGACTGCACTAAATCAGGATTACTGCAGGCAGTGGAGTATTTTACTTGATCAGTTGTGCGTGGCACACCCCAAACCTCCCTTCTCAGATGTGTCAGTACTTCGACTAAAGTGATATATATGCCTCATAATGTTGTGACAATCTACGAATAAACAGTATTTATCCTGCTGGATTCTCTAAAATACAAATGCTTTAGAAAAAATTACACATCTGGCTCATTCTAGAAGCTAGAACTTCAAAGGATGACAAGCAAATTTCTGTGTCTGAACTGAATCGAGAGGGGATTGCTTGGGGAATATGAGGATTGCTCTTCTAATTAGATGTTCTACTGGAATTATCTTCATTCTTGTGTGCCAAATAGTTTTCATGGAATTAAAATACTGCAGCCTATCTTGTGAACAAACTCAGCTCTTTCATTCAGAAGGTGCTAAGGGGATGGATCTGGACAAAAACAATTGAATTGGAAAAGCCAACACCTAAGCGACACCATCTATCCAGTTTCAGTAAAAGCAACAAAAATCCTTTCAGAGGCCTTATCACATGCAGTGCTAGTTGCAGCACAACAGATAATGGATCTGCACAGATGTTCAGGCTTTGCTGCTTCTATACATCACCCTACACGTGTATCTACCCACCGGCTGTTACAGTGGCTTCAGGGCGGTGCAACACAGAGTTGAACTACACCCCAGGAACTGAGTTATCATCTTAGTGGCTCTACAGTGAAGCAGGATCAGGTGCCTCTTAGTTCATATGGTGACAGACTTCAGAGGAATTAAAATCCATCACACATATCCACTGGAGAGGGAACAGGCCAGTGCTCAGCTGGATCTCATCCACACTTGGTCCAAACATGGGCCAGCGAAGCAGAAGGGACAACCCTCCAGGGGTGCATGCGCCCATATACATGCCAAACCTCTATATGCCTCCAGTCAAAGCCTCTCTTTAGTGTCAGAAACTTTCTTCAAAGGAAATACAAAGAATTTACAGCTTCAGAACCAGAAGAACCTTAGAAGTTCAGTGCAACTCCTTGAATTGTCTTTCTTGGTCTTTAAAAAAGCAGCAGATTTTGCTCACTTGTAACCTTCTTATCCTCTATGCGGGATCCTTCTAGCTCCAGTTCTTCAGTGATGTATCTATGCCACAGAAATAAGGTTAAATATTATATGGAGAGACTAAAAGGAGGTTTAAAATCTGCCTACAAGACCTGTCATAACTGATAAGGGATATGAAAAATACATGCACAGACTGCTGTGGTCTTCTGGAGAAAGCCCTGGGCTAGCTAATATAAATCTTCAGGGCCTCTGGATACACTCACAGGCTACAGAACCTGTAAACACATTACCAGAATTAAAAAAACCCAAAACAAAACCCAAAACCAAACATAAAAGGAAGCCAAACCCAAAACAAAGGCGAGAGAGGGCAGATCAAGTATAAACACAACCATTTCCCCAACATCCCAGGTTTACCACATGGACATCTTCACACATGCTGCTCACACACACCTATCTCCCCCCTGCCCCAGCCATCGCTCCCTCAGTGCTTGTTAGCTCAGATGGCAGGAAACTAGATTGTGCTGCAATACAAAAATAAATACATAAACAAAAAGCAGCCTTTGGGACATAGGGAACAAAGGACAATTTTTCCATACTGCACTGTCAGCATGATTGCCACCGAGGTCCTTCCCTGATAGCAGCTCACTGACCTTGCTTGCTCCAGGCAGTAAATGCAGCTTAGCTCTTGGAATTACACTGGGAATTACCACGGGAAGGATGGCATTGATGTGAAATGACATGCACATTTCCTCCTGTAAGAGAAGGTTGGAATTTGCCTAATACTGTTGCACCGCTGGGATTTTTAGTCACGAGACTCTTCATTTTGCCTGTGCTGCCACTTCTAACCTGATCTGCTGCCAGAAGATGATCTGCTGGAGTCCTGGCCAAAACCCACCACTCCAGACGAACCGACCAGCAAGCTAAAATGCAGCAGGGGCCTAAGAAGCCCTTCCATGATTCCTCATGGCTTCACAAATTTGGCCATGACTAAATCTTCTCCTAGTCTTGGCTATAATGAAATTGCCTTGCTGACAACAGAAGCCACCTCCACAGCCCCAGGTGCTTCCCCCTCTACAAGGGGGGAAGTGAGGGCACCCCAACACCCTCCTCACCAGAGACAAGTCCTGGGCGAGGAACACTCCCCAAAAGCTGCCAACACGTCTCTCTGGCCTGGCTTTTGGATGCTTGGCATCACTGCAGGACTGGAGTTCCCAGGCAGTTGATGCCCAGAGAGCATCCTGAGAGTGCAGGAGCCTCTCACCCTCCAGCCTGTGCACAGCTGAGCTGCACATGGAGGTGGTCCCCAAAAAAACCTCCTCCACAAAACAACCCCTGCCCAACCACCCCTGCATTTCTTTTTTTTATTAAAGTATGCAATTAATCACACTGGTAACCTCGCGGTGAATTTTGGGTCTTGTACAGCAGAGTGTAAAACAGGATAGAAATTTCTTTCAGCAAGCAAAAAAAAGCTGACTTAAGCTCTCATATTTTGAGTACTGCTTCTCATTAAGCAAAAATGACTTTAACAGTTGCCTTTGCATTGTAAATTATTTCATTTAGGCAATTAAATTGCCCCATTCAGTGTTTCTGCCTGCATTTTGTCAACTATATATGTTCCATTTAATATTTAAAGACTGGGGCGCTAGTCTGTCTTAGTAATTAATTTCTTTAAATATTTATAGCACTTTGACTCTCAGTAAGGGTTCTGTTTTGTAAGAACAATATTGTACTATTGTTGATAGTGTCATGGAAATTTCAGAGGCAAATTTCTATTTTGTGAAATAAAAATATATAGATTTCTGCAACAGCCTGAAATTGTTTCAAAGTAAAAGTTTTATTACTGAATGATGTATGTACTGAAAAAACCAAAAAATCCAATTATGCCCTTGCACATAATTCCAGACTGAAAACACAGTGCTGAGAGATCTGCTTCATGACAGCTGTACTCACACAGCAAAAGGAACCACCAAAAAAATTTGCCATCACCTCCTTTTTAATCCCCACTGGCACTAAGAACAGAAACCCAGCTGCAAAAAGGCCCTATGAAAGAGAAAGCAAAACCTACAAAAAGCAAGAGGAGATTTTGCTACAGTCTCTTTCCCCTATAATATATAATTTCCCCCCTATAATATAATATTTTATATATATAATAATATACCCTGATTTTAAGACTTTTAGGCTCTTTGTGTGAAATGCTGTGGGCTTATAAAAGAAGGCTTAAGAAGTTTAAGCTTAAAGGCAGCCTTAGAAAATGAAAATACCTGGAAGATACTCTGTCAGTGTAAATTTGTCTAGTAACCCTCAGGGTGGAAAGGTGATGCAAACATGAAAAGCCGAAAAAGCAACCATGAAAGACACTCTACTACCCTGGATATGAGAAAGAGGAAGCCACAGTGGGTGGTTTTGCCAACTTTCATGTGAGGTATACTGACCTTGCAAAGTTGTCACGTCCTGGCTTTGGAAGAAACCAGTTTTCACGTGCCTCCTCCTCCTCCAGGCAGATCCAAGTTGGGTGGCTGCCTCAGGTGGAAAATTTAGGCTCAAATGGACCAAGTGTGGCAAAATCACACTGGGAACAAAGTTAAGAGGATACTTCCTTTCAAGGTTAGGAGCACCCAAGGCTGACCAAGCACTGCATGTGGATGACTGTCCCACCCAGGCTGAGTAGCTCTAAGGACAATCAGGGCTGTCAAGGGTGCCTGCTGCACTCAAATCCTGAAGTCTGGACTTTATCATCTTCATTTCTTTCCCCTCGTAGCAGGCTGGGTGCTGACACCATCTCCTCTCATCAAGCACTAGCACTCTGTGGAAGTGGGAACAGGAGGAAGTGGCACAGAAATCAGTCTGATTCTTGTCCAGCACACCACTGCATTTTGAGTCTAAATAATTCACTGCTGCTGCCTTTGGTAAGATTCTTCCAGCCTTAAAATGGCAATCTGTATCTTGTCATCCCAGGAGATTTTTTTTCTCAGGAATTCACGTGCCATAAGTCTGTTCTTGAACACCAGACAAGCAGCATTAACACTCCCAGAGACAGAAACATAGACATGGGACTTGTCTACACGTACACACCTTTCTCATCACTACATGTGGAACTCCACTTGCAGGCGCCTCTTTCTGCTTTACAGCACCAACATCTGGGCACAGCTGAGCTGTGATCAGAAAAATAAGCCAGCCCTAAATACAAAACACAGCAACTCCTGTGTACATCCAGCTATCCCACGGAGGAAAGATGTGTTTTAAAAGAACACATAAGCAGTTATCCTACGGCCGGCTTTGGCTGTGTCCTCACTCCTTCAGCCCCCAGTCCATGCCCAGAGCAGTGATGCTCTCTCAGGGACCAGCCAAATCCAGCAAGAAATGAGGAGATAAGGATGCAAACACAAGCTGGCCTCACAGAACACATGCTGAGCTGCTTGTTAAACAAGTGGCCCGGACCACAGACACAAAACCTCTATTATTATTTCAGCCTCTAGTTGCAGCCTTCTGAGAGGAGTTGCTGTTAAACAAAGATGTAAGTGCATATGTCCTGCCCTCTCACTCTTCCTCTGAAGTTCTCAGATACCCAAAACAAGCTGCTGGAAACTTAGAACCAACCAGTTAGTGAAAGGCACCCTGAAAATGTGTTGCAGGACATGGCATCCCCACCTCAGTATCTGTAACCACAGAATCATCCCGCTTCTCTGGCTGGGGGGTGCTGATCTTCGCACCCATTTAGCAGCATTTCTGGCTCATGTACTATATCTTACCCAGAAATGCAGACAATGCTGGATAGTGTCACCTGCCCTAAGGCTGACTGACATTTCCCATTACAAGAACCCACCTTCTAGGGCAAGTGAAAGTTTTTTCAGCTTGAACTGAAGGTGAAATTTTCCACGACAGATGTTCTTTCATTACAAGACTTTTCCTCTCAATTCACAGCACCTGCAAACAAAGAGGCCATTGCAAAGGCAATTTAAATAAAGTCTGACCTTTCAGCCACGATTTTCTGGCTTTGGTTAGCTCCAGCTACTGTTTTAATCACATCTTATTATTTCATGCTCTGTGTGTAATGTATGTGCCAGATTTTACTTTTAAGGAAGAAATGCTGGCATATGTTGTTGCCTAATAGATGTGTGTGGGAAAATAGTCATTAGGGAAAGCCTACAGAAGAGGGTATTTTTAAAGTGAACTTCTGTATTATGGGAAAACATATGCCCCACACAAAATCACCAATGCCCAACAGACACGTTTATACAGGATGTACACCGAATACAAAACACCGAATTTAACAACCATATGTCCTGAAAATATCCAGGCAAACCAAAACACCTCAAGCTCCTGGGGGAAAATCCTCCACTGGCGTAAATGGCCCTGTCTCCACTCGCTTCATTGACACCTGCTGAGGACCTGCTTGTCACAGGAGCTCAGCTCTCTCCCCGGCTGCCTCTGGGCTCCAGGACTGGGTAGGTCGTTGGCACGAATCAGTACCTCCCACTGGCAGCCGTGTGGGAGGGGAAAACAAAAATTCTCTTGGAGTAAACATCAGAGAGGCCATTGATATCAAACATTCTGGAGAAGCTCTGAGCTGAGGAAAGTGGGGAATGACTTAATAGCAGGAGGATTCGTCAAGGATGACAAAAGAGTTTGGATCAGGCATTTATGTATTCTGAGAACAGAGGCAGCACTCGCAGCCTGCCAGACCTAGTCCAAAGATGAGCCCCAAGGCAATTCAGGTGTCTGGTGTGCATGGGCAGAGGGCTTTGTGCCTGCAGCAGTATGAGTCACCTCTCTGAGACACTGAAGGACGCTGGTCAAGCTCAGGTGGAAAATACCCAATCCAAAGTGCACACATCTCTAACAGACCGTGGGTGGGATTTGGACCTGGGCTATGCATCAGAAAAATCTCTGGGAAATGGCTGTCAAGTCCTCACCATGTCCTGTGCTCCTACTACTTGGCAATGACAGATCAATTTTGGCCTTGCTTGTCATACCCTATAGGACCGATGTTACTCCCCATCTTCTACTTCACTTACACATTTCACTTGAAGATCTTGAGGGGTTCTTGTACACCCACAGCCCTGAAAGGTGTTGTAGGTTTTCAGGTGGTATCCTAAGCTAGCCTCAGAGCTGGCCCTTTGCTGTGAGCCTTGAACAAGCAGAAGGAAAACAAAAACCCTTGAATTTGTTCCGCAATGTAAGCCACCAAATGCCTTTGCAAAAGCAGACTCCACATGCTACCAGAGCACACAGGGGGATGAGCAGAGGTGACAGCAGCTGGCTTTGGCAGTGGAGGTGAGAACCATCAGTGCTGGGGAAACCAGCAAACTGGGGAGTTAGGGTGAGTTCCCCATCTAGAACACCGCCCAGTTCAAGTCCATCAGAGCCTCTTTCCTCAGGAGGATCACAAACGGGAAAACATTCCCTGAAGGAAAGCAAAGGAATCAAGAGTCCCTGCTCTTCCTCCTCTTGAGCCACAGCACCATTATTTAGGGAAAGCTGGGAAAATTCCCACCTACAGGTCTTAAAGTAGACAAGAAGCAGGGCAGGGGGGCACTGGGAGTACGCAGGACTACCCTGATGGGCAGCTCTGCTCAGCCAGTCCTGCTGTGCAGCAAACTGTGCTTGTCCTAGAGCAGGAGAAAGACAACAACTCAGAGGAACGCACAAAGGGGCAACTTGCAGGACACCTTGACCAGTGTGTGCACAGCACAGGCAGCAACTGGCAGGGGAGTTCCACGGAGACTGTAACTTCAGGTGCATATTTCTGCCTGGCAGCCAAATGTTCACTGGTTACAGCTGAGTCTGCTTTGGAAAGCTGGAACCAAAGCAGCTCAGGGTGGTGGATGGAGCATGTTTGGGTACAACACGGTCCAGCATCACCTGGTTCCTCGCCTTCAGGAAAACAGGTTATTTCCTGCCTTATATACTGCAGTGGAGGAAAAAAATGAAGTGATGGGGTAAGGCAGAGAAGCAAACAAAGTGAAGGGAGAGAACCCAACAGCAAAGGGCCTCTGAGAAGATGATTTGTGCTCTGATAAGTGCTGAAAGCATAGAAGTGTCAAAGCTAAGTCAAGGGCAAATCAGGGAGAGAGGAAAGCATTTCACTCCTCAGGAAAAAAACTCAGTTTCCCAGAGATTATTGCACAGGCTGGGGAGAAATGGACAGAACACGGGACATTTCTGTGAGGGCTTTGTACTACTGTTGGTACTTCACATGCAAGAAGACTGTCTTTTCACCTCAAAGAAGCCATGTGTGGCCATACCTCCAGGACACTGGAACTGAGCAGCACACAAAACTGCAGGCACTCCTGACTGCAGGGGGTGCAAACTTTTCAAAAGACTGCATGCTTCATTAGCACAGAGCTTACCATGTCCTCTGCAAGATGCCAGCCAAGATTTGTAGATATGAGTCATAATCCAGATTTTTTCAGCTGCATCCAGTCTGTTCTGCCTACGTTGGTCTTTAATTTTAAAGAGTTTCACGCTTTCCTCTGCCAGTATCTATCTTCATGCTCTTTCAGCAGCCACCCATTCTTTATTTTGTCACTGCTTGCATCTCATTACCTAAAGGGTTCAAGAGTAATGAGTCCTCTTATCTCTCTTCTTGCTGCTCCAGAAATTTCTAATGAGAAAACTGGGATGTTGAAGGCAGCGGCTGTGCAGCCCCGAGAGCACAGAGGAGCTGAAGCAGAAGAATGAGCTCACTGAAGGTGCTTCTCCTCCCCTCTGGCCCCTGGTGTGCATTTTGCCATCATTTAAAACACTTGATACAAATTAACAGCTATTCCCTTGAATATTTTTATATCTTATTCGAAAAGGGGATAAAATTATGGCAGCTCAGGTTAATCAGGCTTCAGGAGGAGCACCCTGTGTACACCCCAAAGAGGGGCTCCAGGCAGACACATCACATTTGCTATGAGTGGGGAAAACTCAGTCTGTCTCTAGAGCTAATCTGGGGTCAGACTAGAGTCAATCAGGGCTTCTTTTCCATCAAAACCCAGTAGGTATCTCTCAAACATGAGCAGCAGCAGGACTCTACTAAAAGAACAGGAACTTCATATTTTGCGGCAAGCTTTCTTTGTGGAAATTGCAAATCTTTGGTCATTTTAAAGAAAATTCTGAATAGGAGACTACATGGTTTCAAAGCTAACCCAAACAACAGACCAATTCATCACTAAACCAAACACAGCAACTAAAGGGATTCAGATGCAGACCTCTGATTTCTCAATCTCTGTCTTCATGGGAGGTTATTTCCCTTAAAATGGCATTTAAAGGGTGTGGCACAGCAACTAATTTAGCTGTGTGGAACAGCATAAATGCTGGTAGAAAATTAAAAGCAACACTATCTGATTCATGCTGAAGATTTTCCTTCTTCCCTGTCCCTCCTTAGCAATAGCTCCCTATATCTGTCAGTATTCATGCCCTTGTAGCTGTGACAGATTTGTGGTGGTTAAGCAACGTGAGCTGGCAGGGAGAGGCCAGTAGTGTTACTGTAATTACTGACAGCACACTCAGGAGCACCTTTGCTTTTTCCAGCTGTATCTGTTGCCAAACTAGTTGGTACTACCTTTGTCTATAGTTTTTGCGTGCAGAATGCTTTCATCTGGATTCTGATGCACCAGCACCTGTGGATTTATTTGTTGCTACAGAACTGATGCTGCATTCTCACCTCAACTCTTTTTTTTCCCAAGCACCGTTAACTTGAGCAGCAGGGGAGCAGCTGAGGGTCTGCTCCAATATTTTGCGTGCCCTCCAGCACATGTACTGCACCTCTGCCATAAAAGCAAGCAAGCAAAACACCAAGCAGAACCACCAAGAAGCCAGGTGTATCAGTTCCATGATGATTCAAGGACAGGAAACTAAAGCAGGCAGTTCCAGTATAAATCTATTTGCACAGAGACCTAAGACCTTGGCCATAACTTGCAGCCAGCTGGGCCAGCAGGGCCTCTTCCTGTTCTGAATAAAGTCAGCAGCCAAATTTCCATTGCCTATGCTGGAAACACCTGCAGAGCACAGCTGCTGTGCCAATCTACCAGGGGCAGCAAGGCAGGAATAGCAGCCCTGTGAGGGAACTGAAGCAGGGAATCTGGTGTGCGTGAACACCAAAACCCATCACGGTATCTGGCCAGCGTGGAAATGGAACTGATGGTTCAGCAACTGGGCTGGCAAGGTAAGAGCTGTCTCCAAACTGAAACAGTGAAGATCAAATACTAAAACTGGTGTAAGCAGTGTGGCTGTACTGGACTAACCATATTAGCTGAGAACCTTAATGTTAACCTTTGAGACCCTGACTGTCCGTCCGTCCTTCTTTGCCCTGCCCACATGTTGTCACCTTAAGCATATCCCATCCTCTTGCACTCTGTGCTTCTTTGATCACATCCACACTGGAGAATGACCTCCCCAGTCAGCAGGCAACATCACTACAGCAAACCTCTCTTTCAGGGGACAAGCCAGTGGGTGGAAAACAAGCACAAGGACATTTGTCTGCCTGGCAGAGGGAGCAAGGCAGCAAAGAAGCCACTGAGCAAGGAGGACCTCCAAGAGAGAGACCTCAGGTGGTTGTGTGGGGGTTCACTGCTCTGTTGCTGACTGACGTCAGCCTTCTTGGACTCTGAGAGATCTGTTTCATTTTAAAGGGAGCATTCCTCCAGGGATCTCATTAGCACCATCATGAAAGACAGAAAAGAACTGAAGGTTGTTGGAGGGGTGATGGTAAAAAGGACCGAAGTGCTGTCATGGAACATGCTCAGAAGCTGTTATTTTCTCTTTCTCATGCACACACACACTTTTTCTCTTGGAAAAGCTCACCTGCCCTGCAGTCATGATCTGTGGGATCATATGTCTGTAGGTAAACACATACAGCTAACAGGCACCCCAGTGGAGGCATACACGTTATAGTTTCAGCCAGGAATAGAATAAAATGTTAAGCTTCCCTCTCTATCCCCCCTAGCTCTGGGGCATACCATGCCAAGTTCATTCAAACAGTCTGTTATAATCAACAGCAATTGGACGTCCATGCCTACACAGGGGCTGAATATGGGCAGGGCCACGATTCAGCTGGGGTAGGGATGTAGGTCAATTTAAAAGCCTGGTAGATTTAAATTATCATGTCTGACGTCACAGCAACAAACACTGCATCACCCATCCCGATTAGCCACACATCCCAAGCAGTTGCATGGGGACCACAGGTGCTCCTTGTGCAGTGCTGCCCTGCAGAGAACAAGGCGGCAAGGTCTGCTCCAGGTGAGCCCCTCCATGGAGTGTCTGGTGTTGAAGGTGATGCAAGGAGAAGAGTGTCTTTCTAAGAAAGACACCTCTTTTTAGAGTGAAAGCCAAGCTACAATGACAGCAACAAACCACTGCCTTGCTCACTTCTCGTGTGACACGTCAGGGCTATGTTCTGCCCGTGTTTGTTTCAAGAGGAATTGCAGGATGTCATCTGAGAGCCCAGGTGTTCTCTTTCTGTCTTCCAACAAGACTCCTCCTTCAGCTGGCTTTGAAAAACAGGCAGAAGTAGGGTGGTTTGGAAAGATCTTGCACCCATCTCTGTTCAAGACCAACTGTGCCACTTGTAGGCAACGTGACGCATATTTAGTTCCATCCCGGTTTGCCAGCTTCAAAATCTTCTGAGACAGACACCGTGATGCAGTCTCGTAAGTCGGATCCATTCTCCCTGGTTGTTTTTTGCAATACATCTTGTAGAAGTCATCGAGAGATTTCCTGATGCTGGGGTCTTCAGCGCCGTCCCGTTTGTACATCCATGAGAGCACAGCATTGTCAGGTTCTGTGGGCTCACACAGCCTTGCTTTTGGATAACATCTCACGTTTGCTTTCTCAGAGCCTTCATCAGAAGAGCCCACAGGAACTGCAGATGGTAGATTGCTCTCTCCTGCAAGCATATGATCAATGAAAATCATTAGTCACCAGGTCATCCCTGTGGCAAAATCTCTTTTTGTCCCCCTCCCACTGCAGTCTGGCAAAAAGGCTTTTGCACCACCAAGCTAAGTATTGCTCTAAACACAGCTGGACTGCCAGGGAGGTTTGCTGCATAGACCGATATAGGATGGACTGTATTTGGGGATCTCACAGTTGTCCCGGCCTTGACACTCTGCAGTGACTGAATCTAGTTGGTGGTACAAACCTCCTGGCTCCTCTCAGTCATACTTCCAAAGAGGTAGTAATTGGGATCTGCTGCAGCTGACCCACTGGTTTGCCACTGAAACAGTTCTGCATCTCTTTCAGTTTTCTCCCCTCATCCCTGGGTCTAATCTTCCCTTTTCATAGTTCTCAACTTAGGTCCTACAGCACAGCATGCAATCCTGTCCTCTAGCTTTCAGTCAGATCTACAGCTTCCAAACCAACGCTGTGATGGTGACTGCATGGAGTTTCAGAATGCAGACTGAAAAGGGGGACCCTGTGCTTCCCTTGAAGTCCCACTTTTGCAGCCCTGCTGCACTAAATGTTCTCCCCACACCCTGAAGGAATTTTTATCGATAAAATTCATGTAAAGGCTGAGGACACATTCTTGCCTAGCTCTTCTCCCCCCTTCCTTGCTGACCCACATCTCTAGATAACCACCAGGGCTATGGTTTTCTTCTGCTTCAATGCAATCCAGGGGGATGCTTTGTACTTGCACATAGTTAATAGACATAGCAGAAACACAATACAGCAGAACAACTTGGCAATGACAAGATCAGGGTGGTCAGCACTCTTCTAGTAGGAAGAGCCTCCATAAAGAGACTCTGAACTGGGCTCTGGTACCCACGTAACACCTCTAACGTCACTGCCATCTCCAAGCCCTCTGCGCCAGACTGTTTGCCAAGCACCTGACTCACCGACAAGGAAATTTTCCAGGGCTCAGCAAGAGGTGGCACAGCCTTGTCATCTGCAAGTTACATAAGCAGGATGCAGGGAATCAGAAAATAACTTGGTCTTTTCTAATTCTGTGAAATATGAAGCAGAGTGGAGTCCTTCATTTCGGTAAGAGACCACGTTCAAAGGAAATCTCAGTGTGTGGCAGAAGGCTGTTCTTTGCCTCCTGGTACACAAACAGCTACCTTTCCCTTCCTGAGCAGAGATTTATTAAAATGAAATTAGGATGTCTGTGTAGCCACACTGTACATTGCCTCTTTCTTTCTCTCTCTACTTCCTATCTTTGATATTTCGCTTCAATTTCACTTCATCTCTGATTATGCCATTTTAAATAGAACTTACCCTCCTCTTGCAATGTGTCACTTCCAATGCAGTAAAAAGAAAAGCTTGGTGGCCCTCTTTTAACAGTGATATATGCTCTAAGAATGGTAAATCAAAGAACAGATCCATTTTTCCTCAATAATCTCTCAGCCTTGATGACTGTGCTAAGCTAGAACCGAAGCCTCATGCATCTCTGATAACTGAATCAAGGGGCATTTGCACTCAAGAGTCCTGTGGCAATTGTAAACCCCTGTGCTGTCTTCTTGCTCCTTCTTGCTCATAGCCACGTTTTGTAAAAGAGCAGCAGCTGCCTCCAGCTACAAGTATCAAGCCTACATGACCAGGGTAAGAGAAAAATTCCTCCTGGTTTCATGTTGTCAGGGGAGCCCTTTGCAATGCTGCTCTCCCGTGATCTTAGTTTGGCTACTAGGAAAAATTTCTTCATGGAAAGGGTTCTCAAATATTGAAACAGGCTGCCCAGGGAAGTGGTTGAGTCACCATCCCTGGAGGTATTTAAACAGTGTGTAGATGTGGCACTTGAATACATGGTTTAGTGGTGGGCTTGGCATTATGAGGTTTATGGCTGGACTCAATGATCTTAGATTTTTTTCCAACTTAAACGATTCTACTCTATTTTATTCTAAAGCCAGTGTGGCCTACAGAGCAGACACCCTCTGTTGAAGCACAATCCACCAAAGAAAAGACCAGTAAGTATTTCAGGGGCATATACTGGGGTTCGATTCATCACAACATACTCAACTGTTATTACTGGGAGAACAGTTTTCTTTCGGTTACTACTCAAATTTACGTATCTCTGTTTTCCAACAGTAGGCTCTATGCTCTCAACGGATTACTTTTCCAGCAAAGCCTCCTTAAGGTAAGATATCCAACAGGATTGGATGCCCCAACCCTGGCAGTGTTCAAAGCCAGGTTGGATAAGGCCTTGAGCAACCTGGTCTAGAGGGACGTGTCCCTGCACACAGCAGGGGGTTTGGGACTACACAGTGTTTAAGGTCCATGCCAACCCCTTAACATTCCACGATTCTAAGTTTCTGTGACATGAAAGGGTTGAATGCAGAATTCCCACAAGCAATCTGCACCTCACAAAGCCGCACCTTTCCTCAGCTTTCCTGACAATTTCCCAGGATATTCTCCAACTATGTGCCAAGACTGACCTTTTCCTCCCTGAGACATATCAGTTCAGGTAGAGAACCTTACTCAACACCCTCTAAAGAGCTGAAACTGCTGTTGAAACCTGAATGACTCATAAAGCACAGGGAACAAGCACGGCAGCTGGATGCCTGCAGGGTCCAGAAAGAGCTTCTCAGCTGGGGCACAGGTACAGCACACACTGTAGGCCAGCAAACGTGCTGCTAAAGGCAAAGACAGCACTCAATTAATCAATCCCTTTGCCTCCCCATGCACCTGCACCCCTCAAGAAAACTGGGATTGCCTGATAACACACAATGTTGCTTCAAAGCTTGGACCTCTCTGGCCATCTCTCAGCAGCAGGAAAAATGTAGTTTTGCAAATTCTTTTGTAAAATACCTCCATGGCGAACTTAACAACACAGCTGTCACACACCTTTGTCCTGGCTTGGCCCAGCACCTACAGAAGTCAATGCAAAGATGAGCAGGGCTCAAAACTCTCCCTCTGTTTGCTTGTAATAGAATTTAATCACCAGAGAATCTGGCTCATTATTTTTAACTATTTTCACACAATTATACTACCAAGCATTAAAGGAAGAAAACAACAGAAAAGCTCCAAAAACTGAAACAGCTCATTATTCACATCTCTATTTCACTCTCACATGATACATAATCAACAGTAAGAAAGTGTATTATTTCATCTGCATCTCCACTCCATGCTAATTGAAGTTCAGCATTTGCAGCTTATTAGTAAAAGACCTGGAGGCGGATAAAAGGGTATTCTTCTGCTCATAAACCTGCTGATGAAAATTTAAAAGCTCCATCTGGTACAAGCACATAACCCTACTGCCCGAAGCACAGAACCCAATCCTGCTTTGGGCCTAGGCCACTTTCAGTCACGCAACGATTCTGCCATACTGTTATTTGCACTTATACAAAAGCAGCTCACGTAGTTGTTTGAGCTTCTGTATTAACTGTGTCCATGCATGTACAGTCAGACTGTAAAATAATACATCCTTCAAACAGCAGTGACACTGCCAACTTCTCCAGGAGAATGCAGCCTTTCCCTCATCCACTAGGTGGGTCGTGTGGTCATAAAAGGACATCAGGTTGGTCAAGAGGGACCTGCCTTTCCTAAATCCCTGCTGGCTGGCCCTGATATGCTGATTGTCCTGTATTTGATTACACTCAAGATGATCTGCTCCATAACCTTGATGGGTACCAAGGTCAGGCCAATAGGCCTGTAGTTCCCCAGATCCTCCTCCCAACCCTTCCTGGGGATGGGCATTACACTGGCCAACCTCCAGCTGGGCTAGGACTTGCTCAATTAGCCAGGACTGATGCAGCTTAGTGAGATCTTCTGCCAGCTCCCTCAGGGGGATGGATCCCATTTGGTCCCATAGACTTGTGAGCATCTAAGTGGCTCAGCAGGTCACCAACTACCTCCTCCTGGATCACAGGGGGTCTGTTTTGCTCCCCATCCCTTCTTGCAGCTCAAGGGGCCAGTTGCCTTGAGGATAACCAATCTTTCTGTTAAAGACTGAGGCAAAGAAGGCATTTCAGCCTTTTCTTCATCTTAGGCGACTATATTCCCCTTCAAGTCCAATAAAGAATGGAGGTTTTCCCTGGCCCTCCTTACTGATTTTGCCCCTAACTCTGGTATGTCACCCCTAGGCTCATCCCTAGCAAGCCTGGTCTCACCCCCTGTGTTCTAGCTGGGGAGACAAACTCTAGCTATGGACTCTGATGTCAGAGCTTAAAATACTGTCCTGCCCAAGGCACCACCATGATTTTAAGCGAAGAGATCACAGACACGAACTTTCCATCAGAGAGGAAGAGAGAATAGAAGACTCTGTCATTCACAAAATCAGCCACTTCTTGCCCTGGACTGACACCTGTACCTAAGCTCTTTCTGCCCATGAGTCTTCTCCCCAGTGTGACTTGTTACCAGTTAAAAGTCAATGCATTCCCAGTATCCACAGGTAACGATACCTGGAAGTGTCATACAAGAAAGACAAAAGCTACCCATTGTTTTGATTGGTTGTTCCCATCCCTTTTTAGAGTGCCGTGCAGAAGTTCTCACAGGTTGTATTATTTCTCTTTTTCCATCAACCTGTCAGGATGTACCTGGGGTGACTGTAATCATCCACAAATAAGAAAGGGTCTTTATATATTTGTGATTGCTATGAAGTGCTAAAGCAAGTAAACACAGATGCCCTCCCTAAGAGTTGCTACAGCCCTCTCACTACTCCTAGAAAATCTCTTCTTGCTTCTCCATCAGACATGTCCATATGGCATGGGAAAGCTCAAGCAGAGGTGATACTACTTGGGCTTGAGCAGAGCTCCCAGCTGACACCAAATCTCTGCCAAATGGCATGATTTGTGGGATGCATCTGTCTCTATGAGAAGCAAGAAGAAGTCCCGTGTCCCTGCTGAACTCCCTACATGCCCATGCACCTCACAATGACATGTGTTGAGCATCTGAGACAGGTAATGCAGAGAAAAGCATTTTTTTTTCTTTCCACCTGGCTGATTTCCAGTGAGAGGG